CCTTCTCTCGGCGGCGAGCCCTGGGGGGGAAGTGACAAGGATGAGGCCTTCCAGAAGGCTCGGAAATCCCCCGGACGTCTGAGAAGTTCCCTGAGCCTTCCCCGAAGGCACAGCACACTCCTGGAGAGGCGCGAGGGCTTCTGAGAAGCCCCGCCGGCCGCCTTCTGAGAAGGCCTCCTCCTTCTCACTTCCCCCCCCCCCTCGCTCGCCGCCGAGTCATAAGGAACAGCGAGGCCCTCCCGAGCTCAAAGCGGTCCTTCTCCTCCAGCGCCCTGCCTGTACGGACGCGGGCGTGCTTCGCCCACGAGGCGGGCGAGGGCTGCCCCCCCCCCCGGCGGGCAGCAACCGCGGCGGGCGGTGTGCTGGCAGCTGGTCGGCCTCCGCGGGGGCCCCCGCGGGGCCCCCGGGGCCCCCGGGGCCTCCGGGGGCCGCCGCCGCGCTTCCTGGGAGCCTCGCGCCGGCCCTCCCCTCTGTGGACCCCAGGGGGGGGGGGAGAAATTCTCGGGTGCGGCAGAGAGGGGGGTGGTGACTGGGCGGGGGGGTGGATCTCAACGGGGGGGCCATGATATTGCCCCCGATGTCGTGGCGCCCCTTCTTATTTCATCACGTCCCTGGCCACCCCGCTGGGCCGCGCACGTGCCGCCGGCCACGATTTGCACCCCCCCTCTTGGACACCCCCCTCTCTTGGCCGCTCCCGAAGTTCAGACGATATGGTTTTTCCACTTGGCGTAGCTGTTCCTACATTCTCTGCCCTCGGGGGCTACTGTCGGGCCCCCGGGACTGATCTGGGAGGAGAGACTCGGGAGCTTTGAGACGGGGGTCAATGCAGACGGGGGTCAGCCAGGGCGCCGGATCCTGCAGGATCCTGCGAAGGCCCCCTCTGGCTGACCCGGGTCAAGGAGCCGCTCGTGGCCGCGAGACGGCCGCACATATTGACTGACCCGGGTTTGCGAAGACCTGCGTTGCAGTTTTTTTTCCCTGCATTGCAGTTTTTGGTTTCCTGCTGACCCGGGTCTGGATTGACCCGGGTCAGAAGATCCCCGAAGACTGCCCCGGGGGAAGCGGTCGGGATTCCTGCGTCCGTGGATGGGACCAGTCAGATCGGCGGACGTCCCAGAGTCCCAGGGGGGAAGACAGAACGGCAGACGTAAGCAAACTTGTCGGATGTCCGCGCGGATGTTTTGGATCCGAAGCCTCGCTCGCTGCCGATTCTCGGTGGTGCACAGCCCTCCTCCGATGGGGCGGCCCCCTGCAGGCCAAGCCTCCTCCGTGGCGGCTCCCCCTTCGCCCTGTCAAATAGGGGGGGGATGCATGGGGGGGGGAGGCAGGGGGGCACTGTCCGGACCCTTTGGGGGCCCTCGAGTGCCCCTTCAGGGGCCCTGGAGGCTCCTTTTCTGCAGCCCTCGCTGCCCCCCATTCATCGCGCCCATCCCTTACGCGACGCCCAACATATTGGAATTCTCTGAGATCCGGCGGCTCTGGAGGATGTATCCGGCGTCACGGCCTTCGCAGAGCGTTCCGCCCCGTTCTGAGAGCGGCGGGGAACGCTCTGGAACGGATGCATCCTCGTCCTGGCCCCGTCCAAACATCACGGAAGGGGTCGGTCTGTCCGCGCCCGAAGAATTCCACGTTTGTCGTTGCGCTCGCTCTTTTTCTGTTCCCGCCTGCGGGGGGGGGCTTCTCACTGAGGAGGAACCCATTTTGGTCCTCCTGGGAGGCCCTCGTCGCCACCGCTGGCTTCGCCTCGAAATTTTGAACCGAACGCACCCCAGGAAAGGTCCGGGGAGTAGCGGTATCGGTACCTTTTGGTACCTTTTGGTTTCCCCAGTTTCCGCGTTGCTATTGTTACATGCGGCTTTGCATGTTTTAGCGTCATGTGAAGATGTCATCCAAGGGCGGACGTTGAGCGGATTTCGACAGCCTTCTGACCGTGGTGTTGGTCCCTGGGGCAGACCACGAACGTTTGGGAACAAAAAGGGATTGGTTCGAATGTCGGATCCCTTGGAGAGACGGGTGGGCGGGGAAAGGAGACGACAGGGATAGTGGTCTTCATGCCGTGGGCCCCCGATGAGACCGGGCCGAAAAATACCAGCGGCCCACCAGAGAGGGTCAGCGATATTGAGCAGGGACGAGTTTCTCTACGATTTCTAGCGAGGGAACAAAAAATAACGAGGGAACAAAAATAATATCGCGAGGGAGCGAGGGATCAGAAATAACATCGCGAGGGAACATTGAGGGATAGCGAGGGAACACAAATAATATCGCGCACGAGTTCTTCTACGATTTTCTAGCCTCGACCAGGCGCCACCGAGAAGTGTTGCTGTCTCGCAGAGCATACCCTCGCGGCACGTGTAACTATTGGGAGGCCGACTGGCGGGCGGCGGTTCGCCGCCGGCTGCAGGAGCGGCGTGGCCCGCCGGGCGGTTTGATCCGACTTGGTTGTCGCCCCTCTCCGAGGGCTGGGGTGTTCCTCCGGTCCATCCTCCCTCCTGTTCCTGCTCTGTGCCCTCCTGTGCCACTGGGCTTCGCTGGACGGGAAAAGCAGTGCTGTGATGTGCTGGTGAGGGATCACCCGGCCCTTCTGGCGCACGTCCCGGGCCCCAGAGCCGCTCTGTCCCGCCTGCACGTCAGCACGCGCAGTCGCTCAGCTGCTCGCTGTCCACATGCGGCCCTCGCAGTGAAGCTCTTTGCGAGTACGTTTCATGGTTTGGGCCTGCGGGGGGTTGCGTCGCAACGGCCTGGTGGCCGAACCGGGGTCGAAACGTTGGTCGGAAAGGTGGTCAGCCAGGGAGAAGTAAATGAGTCCAGCCGCCTCTGCAGCACACTCCGCCACCGTGGCAGCGCAGGATCTGCAGGACGGTTCTACTGGGCTTCGCCGAATCAGGCTTTGTGTGATCACGTCGGCGCGCGATGGGAACGGCGCCACGATGGTGCGCCCATCAACGAGGGCGTTCTGTCGCTTGTGGGAAGGACCTGCGTCCCTGCGGTGAGGTGTCGGAGGAGACTATTGGTGAGCGAGTATATCCTTCTGCTTTCCGTCCGATCGCTCCGCCCTAGCCCCCTGCACGACAGACATCAGAATGCACTCCCACTGGTATGGTTGCGCCGCGTTGGTGCGGCGGCGACCCCAGTGCGGGGGCTCAAGGTGAAACGCCACCAGTGGCCCAGAATCGGCCGATGTCGAGCGATTTGCGCTACGGAGGGCCGCGATCGCTCAAGGTTGAAACATATCCTTAGCCCTGTGATTGGCACCCTCTGATCTCAATGCGGATCTTCAGAGTTTACTCAGTATCTGCTGACGCATCGCTAAGTTTGTTATCACCTTTGGGCTTGTCAATCTTGCCGAGGCGGGTTATAAACGATCCGCTCGGCGTCAGAAGCCAACGCCCGCGACATCGCGACGCGAAGCAGCCGTGCGCGGCAGCAGGAGGGTCAGCAGCGGCGGGTTTGCAGAGGGGAGGGCGAGGTTGGACTGGGCAAGAGTTCTTCGTCCTCGTGTTGCGCTTCCCTCTCCTCCTCCGCATCCTGCTCTCCCCCAGCTGCTCCTTGATGCATGCCCCTCTTCTAAGTCCCCAGCGACCTCACAAAAGATGGATTGACGACGTGGCGGAGCTCATTCGCTCAACGCGTGGAGAGAAATGGCAACGCGTTGCGTCGGACAGCGACTTGTGGTCACAATTGGAGGATGGTGACGTGCACCACGGGCTCCTCCTCGTCCTCATGCTGCTCTCCTCAGGTCATCGAGGATATAAGAACCCCGAACCTGAATGGCGCGATGACGACGTAGCCTCACTGAGGTCCCCGTCTTTGCATTAGGTATACAGATTCTGGGCGGTGTGGTTCGATACATCTGCAGAAAGAGCCCCTATCCCTAGTGTTTCGGCTCTCCTAATTGAGGTCCCCCCCAACAGGCTAGGGATCCTTTTACTGCTAATCACCAGGAGGAACAAGTTCAACAACACAAGTAAACGCTGATGCCCATTGGAAGATGGGAAACTCTTAGACATGGATGTGAGTAAGAAAACTCAGGAGAATCCTGTGATGTGTGCTTGTGTTCGTTGTGTACCCCTAAACTGCGTTGACTTCCTGCGTCTCTTTCCCCAGATCCTCCTGCTTTTCCACTGGCTGCCCCCTTTGACGCCCTTCTCTTTTTCCTCGCACAGGCGGGGGAATCAAGGTCGACGGGCGACGGGAGGCCATCACGGCGCGCCACCCCCTTACGAGAGTTGGAGCGGGCAGGTTTAGGGCAGTCGCCCCGGTGCCCCTGGCCAGTCTCACTGCGCCTTGAGGAGCGCTGGGCCATGACGGGCAGCCTGCTCTCAGCGGGGCCCAGCTTCGTGCCGTCGCTGCTTGGAGCAAGCGTGGCCTCGCGGGCGATCCCTCTCGCCCCCCCTCCCCGAGCTCCGCCCGAAAAAGAGGCCGCTCGGAAAAGAAAAGGGGAACTCGGCGACGTCGGAAACTGGAAAGGATACATCACCAGGGGCGGGCTGTTGCTTGAATCCCAGGACTTTTTTTGCGGGTCGGGGACGGCGCTGGGGTGATGTGGTGTAGATATGTTTTTCCCCGATGTCCCGGGAAAACGACGAAACGTGTACCCACCAGGATCCCGTGTACACCAGAATCCGCGCTCCCGGTTGCGAGTTTCAGCGCAGGGTCAGGAGAAGCGTCGGTGTATAGATCAGGAGGGGAAGAAACACACAGACACAATTAATCGTCCATCCCCAGAAACTATGGGAAAATATGGGAAGTGGTGGGGAAGACAAAAACCCAGAAAATATAGGAACATATGGGGAATCTTTTTATTTGTGTGTATGTATTTGTGTGTCCCAATTCCCCTTCAATAGAGTCCGTTTCCCTACGAGGCACTCCCAGTCTGGCCCCCCACGCCTCCGTGGGCCACGCGCGGGCTCCACGAGGGTCGGAGAGAGCTCGGGGCCGCCGCGCCTCGCGCGGCAGCCACTGGCGAGGCCTGCCCGCCCCGCGCGCAAAAGCGTGCGCAGGCCCCCGCCAGGGGCAAGAAGGGCGCCACGGCCGTGGGCGGGCCGCTTGCCGCGGGCGGCGCGGCCAGGAGAGCGGGGATCGGGACGCGCGGCACGGGTGCGGACAGAGTGTCAAGCAGTGGCGAAGCGTTTTGGCTCGCCTACAGCCCTACCAGGCACTGTTCTGAGAACCTTTTCTGTGGTTCCCACGACATGTTCTCAGAGCATTTCCGGCAGAGTCTGCCTTGTGTTATCGCATCGGGTTCGTGTTCTAAGAACATGGTTTGTGTTCCTAGAACATTGTGGAGTTCTAGGAATATTTCGTGGTAGGACTATAGGAATGCCGGGACGGTCGGTCCCTGCTCAAGAGTGGGTATTATGCCCAACAGCAGTTCCTGCTCATTTTGAGCAGAATTCGCTGTCCGCGCCGCCGCACACGGGCCTGTGTCCATGAAAGACAAAAGGCCGTCTGCCCAACAGCGGCCTCTGTTGGTTTGGGGCAAGAGTTGTTGTCCGGCATTGTACCAATTTTTTCCGTACCCATGTCGGCCGTCCAAAGGGGAGTTCTCCCGCCGTGACCTCTTGGAGTCGGAGGAGGAAGATCGAAGAACAAAAGACGGCATAAACATACATTTGCGGCGTTCCTCGCGGATTTCTTGGATCGGCGTTGGGCCCCCGTGGCGGCGCCTCCGTCGCCGCCCCTAGCGCGCTCCAGGGAGGGGGATCCCAGCGCAGATCCAAGAAATCCCCGCGGAGCGCCACAAGTTTATGTTTATGCCGTTCTGTCTTGTTTTAGAAGAGGATCAGGGGCAACGTTTGGGGGGGGATTGGCTCCACACGCCCCTATGATCGGCCCCTCTCTACCTTTATCTCCCTTCCTGCTCTCTTCTTTCCCCTTCCCACCTCCCTCGCCCTACTCTATCAACTTATTTGCCGCGCGTGTCTGTGCTCGCTCGGCCGGATTGGCTCGCTCGGCAGCTGGAGGACGGGCGCACGATTCACATCGTCCTGAGCCCCGCTGCAGCAGCCAAGGCGAAATGTAAGTTCGTGCTTCTCGCGGTGCAGGACGGCGCCGCCAGTGACATGCTGAAGGCGCAATGGCGTCATCACCTTGCAGTGCTTCGCAACACGATCCAGACCCACGATCGACGGCCTCTCGGAGGTGGGCCTCGGGGTCCCGCCTTCTCCGGCACCCCAGGCTGCTCCTGCCGGCGACGATGATGGTTATGATGTTGCTGTTGTTGATGATGATGATGAAGGTGATATTGATGTTGATGTTGATGTTGATGATGAGGATGATGATGATGATGATGACGGTGATAATAACGGTGATGATGATGACGATGATAAGATTAGGATGGTGATGATGATGACGGCGATGATGATGATGATCATTATCATGATCATGATCAGGATCAGGATCATGATGGTGATGATGGTGATGATGATGATGATGATGGTGGTGATGATGATGATGATGATGATGATGATGGTGCCAGAGGTGGTGGAGGACCCAGCGGGCTTGATGATGAGCATGGCGGTTGTCATGGTAGTCGTCGGCACCCTGGTGCTGAGCATGCTGATGGTGAAGACCCCTGGTTGGAAGGCAGCGACCCCTGCCGAAGCGACAGGCCTCGTGGCGGAGGCGAGGCCCCTCGGCACAAGGCCCCGCGGCATCACCACCCCCGTCGTGCCGAAAGCCGTGCGCACTCTGCGCTGAAGCCTGAGGCGTTGCCTGCGTGAGGCGCAGCCCACGGCGGGCTGGCCGCCCTCGTACCAGGACTTGACCGAGGCACGGGTTGCCGTGCATCGCAGCCGACGACTGCGGGATGGTCTGGGCCTCCGTGTGCATCTTCCCGAGGACGCTGCACGGGCGCTAGACGCCCGGAGGGAGATGGCGTCAGTACGCGGAGCAGTTGTCCGCGGAGCTGAGTGCCACTGAGGCCCGTTCGGGGTCCGTGCCTCGCCAGTTGTACACTTGTGTTCCTTGCGTCTCCTCCTCCTCCCTCCTCCTCCTCCTCCTCCTCCTCCTCCTCCTCCTCCTCCTCCTCCTCCTCCTCCTCCTCCTCCTCCTCCTCCTCCTCCTCCTCCTCTTCGCCCCTTCCCACTGCCCCGCTCCCCGCCCCCTCCTCGCGTCCCGTCCTCTGCCCCGCCGCCGCCCCGCAGCCTCCCCAGGACCCCCGCGTCCCGACTGCTGTTTTTCAAGGGCTCCCACGAGGGCGCGAAGTTATTCGCGCTTCGCGGTCCTCGTTCCTTCTCCCCCTCCTCCTCGTCCTCCTTTTCTCCCTTTGGGGGGGCGGCGCGAGGGCGCGAAGTTATTCGCGCTTCGCGGAGCGCGAAGCGCGAAGTTGGGAGCCCTAGTTTTTCGCAGCGTGGACCCCCGGAGGTCTGGACCCCTTCCTCGGTCGGCACCGGGTTTTCGTCCCGAGCTGTTTTTCTTCGGAGGGGGAAAAGGCGCCCATACACCTTAGGCGATGCTTAAGAAAACCCAAATTTTCGGCCAGAGTCTCGATTATTCTTAATGTTTCAATGCAAATCCTAAGATTTCCATAGAAGTTCTGGGTTTTTATTCCAGTTCTGAGACTCTGAATTTCTTAACCCATGGTTTCTTAAGCATTTCGCAGGGTGTACTTCTTCCCGTCGCCCGTCCTCCCCTTTGTGGACCTGGTGGAAGGCCCTCGTCGCCACCACTGGATCCGCTTCGAAAGTCTGGTCAGAACACACCCCAGGAGAGTTCCGAGGAGTTTTGGTATCGATACCTTATGGTCTCCCCAGTTTTTGGACAGCCCGGGAGCCCAGCGAGGGCCCCCAGAGACCAAGAATGGTCAAATGCTGTTTGTTGTTTTTCGATCGCAGTGCGAGGGGGTGGGGGATCACGAGGAAGAGAGAATCGCATGACTCAGTAATTGCCGGAGCTCCGCGAAGTTTCCTTGGACCTGCGCTTGACATCCCGAGCTGTTGTTCGCGGCCGCGGGGGCCCTGCGAGGGCCCCCCTGGGGCCAGCGAGGGTCCGAGGCCGCCCTTCGAGAGCTTGGCTCAAGTCGGGCACGTCCCTCCACGGCAGGACGATTCCAAAATAGTCAAACAATAGTCTGGGGGCGATCTTTCTATGATTCTCGACCATGCTTGAACATTTCTTGCGTATGCTCTATGTTTCGTCCAGAATCCGCCTGTAGGAGGACACGAGGACACGCCCGACCTAGAAGCTTGGGGCGACGAGAGGAAGCGGGGGGGGGATCCTCCCCGCGCGCGGCCCTCCTCGTCTGCGTGGGGCGCGGAGGGTAGGCAGGCCAGGCGGATCTTGGCTGCGGGATCTGGGGTCGGTTCTGGATCCCCGAGCCTCGACGAGCCTGGATCCTCGATCCTGGACCTCGACCCTCAATCCTCGACCCAGCGATCGCGGATCCTCGACCCTGGATCCTCCACCCTCGATCCTCGATCCTCCTCCCCCCTGCCCCGCGTCAGGACGGTTGCCTCGCAGCGCGCGGCCGCCGCTGGCAAGGGCGGCAAGGCCGCCAAGGGCACGAAAGGCGCCCGCGCCGGCCGCAGGGGGGATGGGGCAACGCTTCAGCCGAGTATGATTTTGGAGCCATCAAAATGGAAACTAAAAGAATGGGTGGAAACACCGGCAATGGTTCATTTTGAACAGGACTCGCTGCCCGCGCCGCCGCGGACGTCGTCAGTTGAAGATAAGAAGCCGCCCGCCCAACAGCGGCCGCTATCGGTTTTGGACAACATTTGTTGTCGGGCATCGTACCCTGTTTTTTCGTATGCATCTCGGGCGTCCACATGATGAGAGGGCACGCGGGAGGACACGAGACCCTTCCGAGGTCCACGTTGCCATCGGAATGTAGAAGGCATGGGTTCGCGAACACACAGAGCACAAGGGTAGTTACCCTTGACTCGGCAGGGACGACCTACTCGCCCGCCTCCCCTCGTAAGCAAGCAACGCCGCGGTCTGTTTTGTATCTACCGTTATCGGCGTCGAAAATCGCCAAAGAGGTCCCCCGCCTCCTCCCTTCGAGCTCCGAGCGTTGCACTTTGCTCACGCCGCGCGTGCTCGCCTGGTTTCGGGCCAGAGTCGTGATTTCCTTGTAATGCTGCATTTTTTCAATTCGCTTGTTGGGGCCGCGACTCGGATCTGATTCGATTCGGCTTGTTTGACCGGCATCGGCCATAGCCAGCTGTAGAGCCATGTACGGCGACTCGATTCGGGACGATTCGCTTGCGTCCGATATTTTCGCGATCCGATCCGATTTCGTGGTTCGACCCAGCTCAGGCTTGCCTCCTCTCGTTGTGAGAAAATCACGCCGCGGATGTGTTTCGCCATATCCGGCCTCCAGGGGGCCTCCCCCGGGCCCTGGGACCGCCAGAATAACGATTCGGGATCAAAAAATGATCCCAGGCAAGCTGTCCACTCGTTGTGAGAAAATCACGCAGCGGATGTGTTTCGCAATTTGCGGCCTCCATAGGTGCCCTCTCCAGGCCCTGGGATGGCCAAAATAACGACTCGGGATCAAACAAATCCTGGGAAAGCGGTCTAGACCTCTGGGGCCCACGACGTGGGAAAACACATGGGTGCTCACCCTGGAGAATCCTCGTCGCCACGGCTGGATGTTCTTCGAAATTCTGGACAGAGTGCACCCAGGGAGAGGTCCAGGGAGGAGCAGCATATCGGTACTAAGTTGTTCCCCCCTCTTGCCAAGCTCCCACCATTCTCCGCATTCTGCTCGGGTCGGACGTGCGGGGGGATAGGGTAAGCCCCGAATTGGCTCAGAGCCGCCGCGGCAGCAAGTGGCGCCCTAAATCCATCCATGGAGCTCTGGCCACCACTTACGCTCTTGTGTGTGTGCGAATTGCGGGGCAAGTTCACGCGAAGAAAACAGTGCGCGTCCGGGTGCATTTCTCAGCCACGCTCAAAGGGGGTTGGCTGGAGGAGGGAAGGTTTCTGAGAGGCGTCCCTGCTTCTCAGAAGGCGCGAGCCCTACCTGCAGATGCAAGGCCAGCGCCTCCCAAGAAACAGCTTCCTAAGAAGAGAAGCATTCCCTCATCCCCCATACTGTCGGACCGACGTATAAGATCGAGGTCGGTTCAGGGAGGGCACCCTGATGTTCTTTGTGCTTGTTGGATGTTCTTGTGTATCCTGGGGGGGGCACCCTCGAATGTTCTTCGGTTTAGCTGGCGGAGGATCGTATGTTCTTGAAGAATGTTTTTTCTGTTCTAGGTCTGGCCGTAACCGGCCTCGAATTTCTCCGTATCCCTAAGATTTGCAACCCCGAGGTGATGCCCATCTCAGGGACGCCTCAGAAACGGAGGAAATCCTTGAGATCGGCACCGCGGCAAGGTAATGCCAAGCATAGGGGACATGGATCTGACTCAAAAATTGGTATACCGTTGGATCGAGGTATAAGATCTAGGTCGCTTCGGGGAGGGTACCCTAATGTTCTTCGTGCTCGGTCCATGTGTTTGTGCATCCTGGGGATGGTACCCTTGGATGTGTGTGTGTCTGTGTCTGTGTCTGTGTCTGTGTCTGTGTGTGTTGTGTGTGTTGTGTTGTGTTGTGTTGTGTTGTGGTGTGGTGTGGTGTGGTGTGGTGTGGTGTGGTGTCGTGTGGTGTGGTGTGGTGTGGTGTGGTGTGGTGTGGTGTGTTGTGTTGTGTTGTGTTGTGTTGTGTTGTGTGTTGTGTGTTGTGTTGTGTGTTGTGTGTTGTGTGTTGTGTGTTGTGTGTTGTGTGTTGTGTGTTGTGTGTTGTGTGTGTGTGTTGTGTGTGTGTGTGTGTGTGTGTGGTGTGTGGTGTGTGGTGTGTGGTGTGTGTGTGTGTGTGTGTGTGTGTGTGTGGTGTGTGTGTGTGGTGTGTGCGGGTGCGTGTGCGTGTGCGTGTGCGTGTGCGTGTGCGTGTGCGTGTGCGTGCGTGTGCGTGTGCGTGTGGCGTGTGCGTGTGTGCGTGTGCGTGCGTGTGCGTGTGCGCGTGTGCGCGTGCGTGCGCGTGCGTGTGCGCGTGCGCGTGCGCGCGTGCGCGCGTGTGCGCGCGTGTGCGCGCGTGTGCGCGCGTGTGCGCGCGTGTGCGCGCGTGTGCGCGCGTGTGCGCGCGTGTGCGCGCGTGTGCGCGCGCGTGTGCGCGCGTGCGTGTGTGTGTGTGTGTGTTTGTGTTTGTGTTTGTGTTTGTGTTTGTGTTTGTGTTTGTGTTTGTGTTTGTGTTTGTGTTTGTGTTTGTGTTTGTGTTTGTGTTTGTGTTTGTGTTTGTGTTTGTGTGGGTGGGTGTGGGTGTGGGTGTGGGTGTGGGTGTGGGTGTGTGTGTGTGGGTGCGTGCGTGCGTGTGTGTGTGTGTTGTGTGTGTGTGTGTGTGCGTGTGTGTTGTGTGTGTGTGTGCGTGCGTGTGTGTGTGTGTGTTTTGGCCAGCGGAGGGTCTCATGTTCTTGAAGGATGTTCTTCTGGCCTAGGTCCGACCGTAGGCGGGCTGGACGGCGAACGAGTGCACCTGCACAGCCACGACGCTGAAACAAGGGTCGCTTTGGGTTCGGAAGGGGCTCGCTGTTCCTTTGGCCATTCCTCGGCTGTTCCTCGAGCCCTCCGCGTGCACCCGGGCTCTCGTGGGGCCAAAAAGTTGTCGTTCTGGATCTGGCGTTCCGCATCGAATGGCTTTCGGGCCATCCCGCCACCGTGCTTAGGTTGTGCGTCAATAGTCTTCAAGAGTGTTGCTTCTTGGGGCCTCTTCGGAGCGCTCTCGGGTGCCTCTGGGGGAGGGGGGCCATTGTGAAGCCTCCTGGGAGCCTCTGGAGGGCCTCTTGGGAGCCTCTTGGGGGCCTCTTGGGGCTTCCTGGGGGCCTCTTGAGGGCCTCTTGGTGGCCGCTTGGGAACCTCTTGGGGCCTTCTGGGGACCTCTCGGGGCCGAGGGCTCGAAGTGTCCATTCGGGTCCCCCTCCTGGGCCCCCTCTTGGAGCCGTCTTGGGAGCCTCATGGGCTGCCTTGGAGGCCTCTTGGGCCGTCTTGGGGCCCTCTTGGACAGTTTTGAGGCCCTCGTGGAATATTGAGGGCCTCTTGGGCCGTCTTGGAGCTTCGGGAAGCCGAACACCTAAAGAACAGCAATGACTTGTGCCTCTTAGGGCCCTCTTGGGAGTGCTCTTGGATGACTCTTGGAGGCCTCTTGGGGCGTCTTCGAGGCCTCTTGGGCCGTCTAGAGGCCATCTTGGGCGTCTTGGAGCGATCTTTCGGCGATTCTGTGCTCTCCTTGGCCGTCTGGGCGGCCTCTCGGGGCTTCCTTGGCCCAGTTTGGAGCCCTCCTGAGCGAGGGGACCGAGAGCGCCCGGGACCAACCGGGAAATTGGGGTTCTGGGCCCTCGAGAACATCACAGTCCCTCCACCTCGCAGGGCTGTATGAGCCTTGGGGCACTCCACTTCGTGTCAGAGGCACGGTGGCGGATATCATCAGCCCGACTGTAGCGTCAGTGGTGCCTCGAGCTCGATCTCGAGCACGGACGAGGACAGGCATGCGGCCAAGAGGGCCTGGCGCGAGCCGCCCGCGATCCACGAAGTCACCAAGCATCGCAGGCCAGTTCCAGTGCAGCCAGCCCAGCACGCCATCGACCCAGCTCGACAGACACGTGCGAACAGATGGAGGTAGAGCGCCCCACGGTGACAGGCCACCGTGGGGGTTCGAGGGCGCACCAGCACGTGGCCCGTCTTCGGGCCCCTTGCAAGAGCGGGCAGCGAGCGCTCGACGCTCGACGGTCCTGGGCGCGCTGCTGCGCCCTCCGTCGTGCGGGCCCTTGGCTGCCGCCTCGCTGCCCCCGATGCTTTGGAGCCTGCGCAGCCGTCGGCGGCCGCCGAGAGCAGCACGCGGGGCAGCGAGGAAATGGCCTGACCTTCCAGGCAGGAGCCCTGGGCCAGGGGCACGGCCCCGAGGGACCACAGCTCCACCTCGGCACGCCACCCCCTCGCCGGGCCCCCGCTCCAGGGCCGCTGCGACGGCCAGGCTTACCAGGAGGCGCCCATGACCAGGGACGCCAGCCCGAATAGCCTCGCCACCACACCGGGCTCCTCGTCATGTATCAACGTCGTCGTTGAGCCCCGCCTGGTGTCCTTGGCCGAGGGAGCCAAGCTTGTCTCAACAGAAAGAGCCGGCCACCCCCGTGCCTCCGATGCAGACGGAGAGCGCGCGGCGCCAGGGCGCAAGCCCAAACGGGCCGCGGGCCGCGAGCAGTGCTTGGAGGGGTCGGGCGGGCCGAGCCTCCAGCTCTCGACAGAACTTGGGCAAGCAGCACTCTGCTGCGGCGCCGCCGCTGCTGTCGGCGAACGTTTGCCCAGAGCGGCGTGCATCCCCACCGGGTCCTCCATCACCACCCGAATACTCCTCAGCCACCGCCACAGCATAATGCACGCTCGGATGGGCAGCCACAGCTTCAGGGTCCACGCCAGCCTGAGCTAGGGGCGCCAAGAGGCGCGAGGCACCTGGGCCGAGGGCGCCACACTCGACGGCGTAAGTACACCAGCCTATAGGGGTTCAGATCTCCGCGAAGGTCGGCACGCCAAACCAGCGGCACAAGAAAGTACGCGCTCGGCCCACGTGCCCTTCGCCGCACAGGCAAGAGGAGCCTGCAATCCTCGTAGTTCCGATGGAGAGAGCGCGCTGTGCCAGCGCAGGCCCATACAGGGCCGCTGGCCAAAAAATACTTCCTGGAGGGCTCGGGCTGGACGAGCCTCCAAGCAAGCAAGCAAGAGACTGCGTGCACAAAACGGCACATTAGTACCAGAAAAAAATTAACCGCCGTTATGGCAGTACTCCTTCACAACGGCTTTCCACTCACTCTGTGTGGCCTGTGTTGACTCACAGCTCGATTGTGACCCTTTTCCTGAACGGACGGAGCCCTTTGCCGAGCTGCCACCAGTTCGCACGCTTGTGCGGCTCTGCGAGAGGAGCGCACTTCTTGCCCAGCTTGGCCAGCCGCTCACCTGAGGTGTAGCAGGCCCTCTGGAGTCATCGAGGGGAAATAGAGAGCCTAACCCTGATAACACGATGAAGACGTAGCCTCACCGAGGTTCCCATCTTTGCATTTGGGATAACAGATCAGGGCGGTCTGGCTCGACACATGTGCAGAAAGGACCCCATATCGCTACTGTGTTTTGGCCCTCCTACCTTAGGTCCCCTCCCACAGGGTCAGGGGTCCCTTTTATGTCGGACCATAGAGAAATTGAGCTCATCCTCATCCTCCTCCCATCGTCAGCGGCCTGATTTGGCAATCGGCCCCCGTACGATGCAGGTTGCAAACTCGGCGACCGGCGCCCTCCTGGATACCGCGGCGACGGCCCCAGGAGGCCGCGGAATCGGGGCCTCGGCCGACCTCCCGTTGGGCCACACACCCCATCGGGGTTCAAGAAGCGGGGGTCAGTGCAAGCAGGGGTCAGTGGGGAAGTCAGTCAGAGCGCCGGATATTGCAGGATCCAACTGAGCCAGGGCTGCACTGACCCGGGCTTGGGTGCAGGATCCTGCACCATCGCGCAGGATCTTGCAGGATCCTTCAAGGCCTGAGCGACTCGGGTCTGGATTGACCCGCATCTGAGGACCACCGAACCCCAAGGCCCGAGTTTGGAGTGTGCAGTCCCTGATGGTTGCCTCCGACGACGGTCGGAGGCTGCTAGAAGCCAGAGGAGGAAAAAGATGCCCATACCGCTGCCATCGCCCCGTTTTCGCCGCTGCGGGCCTCCTCGGAGGCCCGTTGGATTCGCCTCGACTTGCTTGTCAGAATGCACCCCGGGAGAGGTCCGGGGAGTAGCAGTATCAGTACTTCTTGACTTACCGAAGAAGGGTTCGTTGGACAAGGTTCGGTTCGCCAGGCCTGAGTCCCCGCCCAGCCCGACCTGAGGCCCCCTGGCCCGACAGGAGGCGCCCCAGCAGCCGTCGAAATCGCCCTTCTTGAACCAGACCTCCCTGCCGCTCCCGAGCCTGAAACATTCAGCCCAGGATGGTTGCCTCCGAGGACGTGCAGGTCAGAAGCGTCGGTGGGGCGCCCACTTGGGAAGGCACAGGGGCCGGCCGGCCTTCTCAGAAGGCTGCGGGGCACCCACGAAGCTTTTTGGGCCTTCTCCGAAGCTCGGGAGCGAAAAGAGGAAGTACACGCACATGAATCCACGTTGGTTTCGAGAGTACGCACTTCGCGGACTGGGGGGCCATGTTCATGTACGTGGTTGGGCGCGTACTTCCTTCTGGTGTGATCTCCCTAGAAGCCACGGGCAGTTTCTCAGAAGGCGTGGGGGCCTCTGCAGGCCGCACCGCCTCTGAAGAGGCCGACCGCCTCTGGCTTCCCCCTCTGGCCGGGCCGCCGGAAGCAGGAGTGGTTCGGCTGTGGTCCGATTCAGCGCGCGCGATGCGGTCATGCTGTAGCTGCGCGCTGGCGCTGAGTTGCCCTTGCAGTAGTTCTCCGATGAGCGACGCAATAAAATGGGGCCGTCTGCGCCGACATTAGCAGGTCAGTTGTCTGCGCAAGGTCGCGCGTGAGCGCCCTCGCCTCCACTGTGGCGTGCCGCGCCGGTGGCCCGCGTGAGCCACCGCGCAAGGTCACTGTGTCGTCTCGCGCAAGACACGTTTCTCTTTGTCGCTCCTACGTATCCTCCTAATCCCTCCTCCTCCCCCTCCTCCTCCTCCTCCTCCTCCTGCTCGTCCTCCCCACCTCATGCCGCATCCGTTCACGCCATACCCACCCCGCTGACCCCCCTCTTCCCCCTGCCCCCCCCCCTGCTCCGCGGCGCCCCCGCCCGTGCGGTCGGGCCACGTCTCGGAGGAGCCCGTCAGGCGGACCTGCTCACTCCGCCCGCGCACAGCCTCGCGCCGCTCCGCCCAGCGTCCCCCCCCCGCACTCCTGCCCGGAGGTTGCCGCGGGCACGGCGCGAGGAGCGGGGAGGGGCCAGGCGAACACCCCCGACGGGGCTCCTGCCTGCAGCAGTGGCGTGCTGCTGCCTCGAGGCCGCGCGACGGGGCCGCCTCGCGGGCGCACGGCTTGCTCCGAGGCTGGCTGGTCCATGTCGGCGAGGCAGGCAGCAGGGCAAGCTGAGGAGCATTGCCACCAGACCTTGCCGGTCCACACGCGCGCACGCACGCGCGCACGCACGCACGCACGCACGCACGCACGCACACACACACACACACACACACACACACACACACACACACGCACACACACACACACACACGCACACACACACACACACACACACACACACACACGCACAGACGCACACACGCACAGACGCACACACACACACACTTTTGCTACACACTCGGAGGTGGATAGACCTCCTACCCTGACACGTCGATTAGTGAATTTGCCGTTTTCGGTTCGCGAGAGGGCGTCACGGCCGTCATTTTTGCGGGTCCAGGTCCGTCGGTTTCGGTCCCAGGCCGTTTTCTTAAGTGGAGGTTTACTCAAGGGAGGTCCGTCCACCGCCGAACTTTTGCACACACGCACACACGACTTAACCTCGGCGGCCACCGGTCGCAGCGAGTGAGACCGCCACGGGACCAGAGTCGGCGGGCGAGGGGGGGAAGGTGAGAAGGAGAAGGCCTTCTCAGAAGGCGGCGCGGCTTCTCGGAAGCTCCGGCGCCTTCTGATGAGTTTGCCCTGTTTTTTATTCGGGGAAGGCTTAGATAGCTTCTCAGAAGGCCGGGGGACTTCCGAGCCTTCTGAGAGGGCCCGCCGCTTCCCCTTGTCCCCCTCGGCTCGCCGCCGAGGGAGGCAGGAGCCGCGGAGGCGCGGCACGCGAAGCGGAAAGAGGGACCCGGAGGACGGCAGCCAGGGGCGGCGGACACGGAGACGGAGACCGCAGGGCGAGGGGGGAGGCAGGGAGGAGGCAGGGGCGGGGGTGCGGGGGAGGGCCGAGGGCCGGGGGCCGAAGGGGGCAGGGCGAGGAGCGGGAGGGGAGGAGCACACGGAGGAGGGCGGGAGAGGCGCGTCAAGCACAACGGGCAGGGTGCCCAGCGCCCAGCCTCTACACGCCGGTGGTTGGAAGCAGGTGTCCGTGGGTGCCCAGATCCCAATCTGCTTCAAAATGGCTTCTGGTGTCGATGATCGCGAGGTTTCCGCTCCTCCCTCCGCTTCATGGGGCGGGCGGAAGCCCAATCTACTTCCAACCGCATTCCTATTCTATGTGTTCCCCCAACTCCTTCCGACCGACGGGTATAGGCCTCCCAAGTTGGGATCCGAGTAGACGAGGTCGGAGGACCGTGCCGCATCGGCGATGGATCGGCGATGCGGCTCGCGGTGTGGAGCCCGGTTTTCTCCACGCCGACGTCGCCGACGTCGCCGATGCATTGGCCGTGCGGCGCGAGCCTCCGACGCCACATATGGGAGGCTCCCGCAGCGCCCGGCCCGAGGTGCGCAGCCGGGCAGGGGGCTGAAGCGCAAGGCGGCGGAGGCGGAGGCCCCGCCCCGACCCACGCCCGCAGCGGGCGGGGCGAGCCCGGCGCGGGTGCGCGGTGGGTGCGAGAGTTCTCGACGAGCAGGTGCCATCTCTCGAAGAGGAGGAACAAAAATGCAGGAGCGTGAATTCTCGGGGTTCGGAGGACGAGGACGGGGAGGAGGAGGAGCGTCTTTACTGCTGCAAGCAATGATCTCCCATTCGGCAAGCGTCTCAGCACGCTCTAGTCAGGTGTGTCCGAGCTCAGGTGGCAAGGCCACCGGTTCGCAGAGGCTGATCATCCAGGACCGCTCTCTTGGGTACGCTCGAGGCATCAACGATGTTGCAATGACCCCTCCCTCCGAGCTCCCTCTTCGTAGGTCCCTACAGGAATTTACATTCACTGCGAGAAGTGCTCCCTTGAAAGACAACCTTGTGAGCATCCTCGGTCGTGCCAAAACGCCGTCCCTGGGACTTCAACGCCACGCCGCGGGTCAACGCGACTGTTGCGTCCTGACAGTCCCAAATCGCACTGGAACACCATTCCTGGAACTTCAAAGCCGCGAATCAACTAGACTGTTGCGTTATGACAATCCTCGGGATCCAATTTCCCGACACATCAACACCACGAATCAACAAGATTGTTGCGTTCCGACAATCCGAAATCGTGCCAGAACACCATTATTGGGACTTCAACCCTGCGAATCCTGGAAACTGACGCAAACTTTCAGAACGAATGCGCGCGGCGCTACGGCGAAAACACCATGTTGAAAAGACACCGCCCTCCACCTTTTGAAATTGCTTGAAAGTTTTGTAAAGAATGTGTTCGGTGCTAAGGCAAGAGCCACATTTTGAAAATGTTCCTCCGCCATGATTCATGATCTGCAGATGTTGACGACGGCTGTTCACGGCGCTAAAGCGCGAGCCACACTCTGAAAACTATCCGTCCTCAATCCTTGAAGCTGCTACATCGTTCATGCTACAGGATCAGATATGGTCAGGAGGTCTCATGCGAAACACCTCCTGGAAAAGGGATGGAGGAGGACGAGGGAGGAGGGAGGAAGGATAAGGCGGAAATGGGAAAGGGAGGAAACAATGGAGCCGTGGAGGAGGAGGAGGAGGAAGAGGAGAAGGAGCGCGGATTTGTTGAATCGGCGCTGGCCTGCTTTGCGGCGCTTCTGGCGCCGCCCTTGGCGCGCTCCACCGCGCGCCAGGGATGGATGTTCAGCGCAAATCGAAGAACTCAGCGCGGAGCTCCGACAGATTGTGTTTGTGGCGTTTCATGTACCTCAAATTGTCACGCGCGCGTGAGCGTATTGTCGAACGTATGAAGACGTTTGTGCCGGGATCTTGTTCCCGCGTTGCGTCGAGAGCATGTCCCGACATGGGGACGCATCGCCCTACAATCGCCCTTTCATCGCCGATGGGGGCCTAATAGCCCATCCCGCCCAGGAACTTGCGGTTTTACCATCCTGGCCTATCGGCGATGTATTGCCGATGTCCGGTCAATGCGTCTTGCCCTGCATGTTGGACAATCACTGGCACGAAGCTCGGCCTCTGCTCATGTCAGGTGCGTGTGTGTCTCGCCCTTTCTCTCTCTCTCTCTCTTGTTCTGTCTCTTCCAACTCCGTCTCTGGGAAAGCACTAGCCAGCACGTTGTAAATTCAACATGTCCATCGGTGAAAGCCATATTGCATTCGAGCTCCCTCGTCATTGTGCTTGAAATATCTCTTAACTGTCGAGAAAATGGAAAGGCTGTCACACCACATCGGCGAAGAGTTTCACAATACTGTCAATCGATGCGTCGTGCAGCTCAGAGAACCCCCTGACCTCGTGTATTTGGATATGGCGGCCAACCGTGTGATCATTATCGCTGCATCAGGTTCACTGCAACGTCGAAGGTCAGTGGATTGCTGCGTGTGGGTGTAGACGTGTAGACGCCCCCTGCTTGCACTACAGTCAGCGTGCATGGCAAGGTTGAGTGGTATTCCCAAGGGTACCCTTGCATACTTGCAGGTCTGGGGGCATATCCTTGGGCAACCCTTAGCTCAAAGAATTTCCATTTAGGCGTCCAAGGGGCATGCTTCCCTACCGCGCGTTCTTGCCATAAGCGTTGATTGTACGGGCACAGTCGAGGGCCGACTCTGACCCCAGTGGTACAACCACAGCTTGTGTTTGAGAAGATTCAGATCGGTTGGGGAGTTTGTAATTGCATACGCTTCGCGTAACCCCACCAGCGAGTCGCTCAACCTGAACTCCCCCCCGCCATTTTGGCGTTGCAACCTGCTGGCGGTTCCCCCCCCAGACGAAGGCGCACTTCGGAGCTGCAGCGAGGCCCGCCTCCTGTTGCCTCCTCCCCACTGTTCTCTCGTTTTCTCTCGTTCTCTCTCTCTCTCTCTCTCTCTTTTTCTCTCTCTCGCTTGCGCAATTTAGGCCGTAGCTAGAGTGTACGACTTTTTGACGGCGTTCGGCACTTCCGCTACGCTTGCGGTCAAAAGTAACCCCACCAGCCAATCCAAGAAGGATGCCCAGGCGAGTTGCCCTGGTCAGGGATATGGAGGGGCGCGCGGTGGAATAGGAGGTGGGGGAAGCCGTCATACCCCAAAGGGAGGAGGATGGATGAGGAATCGGAGGAGGAGGACGAGGAGGAGGAGGGGGAGGGGGGGAGGAGGGAGGAGGGAGAAGGAGGGAGGAGGAGGGAGGAATAGGCGGATGAGGAGGACGAGGAGGAGGAGGAGGAGGAGCGCGCGCAGAAAAGCCCAGTATTTACATTGTAGATGCCTCTCGGAGCCTCTTCGCGTGTCTCTTGGGAGCGTCTTGGAGTCCTCTTGGAGCGTCTTTGGGGCCTCTTGGCGGCCCCGTGGGCCTCTTGGAGCGTCTTGGGGGCCTCGGGGGGGCTTCTCTTGGGCTCCTCTTGAGGTTATCTTGGGGTATTCTTGGGAGCCTTGGGGGCCATCTTGGAGGAGCTCGATCAAAGAAAGGGGGCGGTCCCCGATGAGGCCCCCCACGGGACCAACATCTGTCCAACACCGATTGGAAGTCAGTGATTTGCGCCTTCTCGCCGAGGCTTTCTTGGACACTCCGGCGATCCGCGCCCCCCCCCCGTCCAGGTCGGGCGGAGGGGGTAGGGGGAGGGCTCAAGCTACCCACCCGCCCACAAGCCGTCTTGCTCACTCCCACCCGCCCTCCCAAAACATACGTAACACCCGAGCTTCAGCATGTTCAGCGGTCGTCTTTGGCTGGGCAGCTACTGGGAACCAAAGCCGAGCCCATGTGCGCGACGTTGGGGCGAGGTGCGCCACGCGTGCCAGGCGCGCCGCGCGCGCCAGGCACCCCTAGGGCCCGAGCGTGCCAGGCACGCCTGGTGCGCCAGATGCGCCACGTGCCTCCGCGTGCGTCAGGTGTGCCGCATACTCCAGCCGCGCCAAGTGCGCCACGTTCGGGGCACGTGCGGAGTGTATTAGGTGCGCCTGCGCACGTGACAGCACACATAGCGAAACATGCCGGCCCCCACAATCCTTGTCGAAAACCAAAGCCCGTGATTGTCTCTGGCGGGCTTGCGCACAGCAGGCCATACGCCACCACCCCCGCCGTCCCTGCCAAAAACCACTTCACACTGATCGCGGGGTGACTGCGCATCATCAAGACTTATCCGCGAGGTGCATTGTGTATTGGTTGTTGATAGGGATGGTGGCCCTGCGCACAGCAGACAATATGCTGAGACACCCCCGCCGTCCCTGTCACAAAACATACAACGTGCTGGCGGGCCTCACGAACATGATTCAAGGCTTTGCCTCCAAGGTGTACTGTGTATTGTTTATTGACTGGGATTGTGCGGGGGGGGGGGCGCATCGGGTTGGTCGCGCATGCTCCGAATGTGAAGACTTTGTTTTTGAGAGGTGGGGGGGTACCATGGCGTCAGCATTGTTCCTGGTTGGCTGCTGGTCGCCTGGGGGAGGGGGTGTATATAAATAGTGAACAGTGATAGTCCCGTGACCGAAGAGGAAGGGTGGGTGGAAGAGGAAGCGCTCTGAACCATTCGCGCCCAAAAGGGCTGGTTGGATTACCGCGATTCTGAAACCCCCAATGACTGGGCCTTGGCGTCGCTCAGGCGTGTGCATTTTTCTAGGCGAGGATCATCGCACGAGACCGACAAATGCACGTGGAATGGACGTCCGAGCGATGGCGAGAAGGAGGGGGCTCGGAAAACGACACGCTCTAAACCACTCACGCCCCGAAGGGCTGGCGGGATGACCGCCATTCTGCAGCCCCCGCTGGGCGTTGAAAGTGGCAGGTTCGACCAGGGCCCCTGCGCTGCTGCGTGCCTCTTCACTGCCCTCGCGGCGGGTGCTCGGACTCTGCGGGGCGCCGACCGCGCGCTCAGCCCAACATGACGCACCAGAGGGCCGCCAGACCCAACGCGCGAATAAAACATACGGTTGTGATCGGCCCTCTCCCTCCCCCCCGGATCACGTCACGCTGTGTAATTCATGTTGCCCACCTTAGCAAAGATGTGTTGCGGATTCTTCCAGGATTTTCTCAAATCTCCAGCGCCCCCCCGCCGTGATGTGCTCGCGGGGGACGAATTGCCCCCGCCTCCCCCGATCACGTCCACGATCGCGATGAATGAAAAGCAAGGCCCCAGCTGTTACACTTCACAGCTGATCGCCCGAAACACAGCCCTGGCGGCGGCTCCAGAGCCGCGCTGGAAATGGCGGCCTCTCAGTTCCCCATCCTTGGCCCACGGCGACCCCGAGAGCGAGCACACCATCCCCAAGGACGGCGATCGAGGACGCCGTCCCCCTCATCAGGCTCGAGAAATGCCACGACAACTCCAAGACGAGGGTCCTCTTCGCCATGAACGAGTGGGACCACAGGCCTGTCGTCCTCACCGCCCCGAGGTGCGAGGGCGCAGGGCTCATCCGCACCGGTGTGATGCCCGCGGGCCGGCTCGAGGAAGAGCTTTCGACGTGGCCGGAGGCCCTGGCGGCATACACCTTAGGCGATGCTTAAGAAAACCTAAGTTTTCGGCCAGAGTCTCGATTATTCTTAACGTTTCAATGTAAATCCTAAGATTTTGATAGAAATCTTGGGTTTTTATTCAAATTCTGCGACCATGAATTTCTTAACCCATGATTTCTTAACCATTTCGCGTGGTGTAGGCGGACTGGAGGATCACGACCTGACGCCGCCGCTGCTGCTCTAGACACGCGGGCCCGCGGCTCGCGACCTCTCTCTCCCTGTCCTTTTCGTTCGCTCGGGTTCGCCGCGTCGAGCGGCTTCCCAGCCTCGTACGCCAGTGATCGTGTGCGCTGCCGGCCGCCCCGCGCTGCCCGCAAGCTCGGCCGGAGCCTTCCTGGACTCTCGCCACGCGATCGTGAGGGTGAATATCGCAGTCCCCCGAAGGACAGCCCGACTTCGGTGCTGATGACGAAGCCGCCGCCTGTCTAAGACTGTGAGCCTCCGCCTCTCCCCACCCCGCACTTACCGCCCTGCTCGCCGCTCGAGCTCCTGACCGCGCCTGCGCCCGGCGAGATACGGGAGCCCGTCCCCCGTGCGACGGGATGTTTTTTCGATCGGCCCGACAACGGCCGTTTTTTTTATGCAAGACATCTGCCAGCGTCAGGCTCGTGCGCCATCCCAGAGGTCGACGTATAATATCATACCCCCAGCTCTCCCTTCCTGCCCCTCCCCCTTTTCCATCCTCCTGCTTGCCCCACCGACCTGTGGGCGTCACGGATTTCTCCGAGGACATGTGATTCTCCTGACTCCCCCTTCCAGCCGCGGCACGCGCCAGCCGTGCCAGCACTTGGCTCACTCAGCCGGCGGCCCCTGTCAAATCCTTCCTCCTCCTCCTCCTCCTCCTCCTCCTCTTCCTTCTCCTCCTCCTCCTCCTCCCCCTCCTCCTCCTCCTCCTCCTCCTCCTCCTCCTCCTTTCTCTGCGCCGGCGCGTATGGGAGGAGAAAGCCAAGGGAAACATAGGTGCGTAGAGACCGATTGTTTGATTCCACATTTGTTGCCATATTTCGTTTGAGTTCATATTCCCATCCATGTCCCATCTATTCCAATACTTTGCTGGACATATGTGTCTACATGTGTCTGCTTATGGTGTCCCTGCTCCTCCTCATCGTCCTCCTCTTCCGCCTCCTCCTCCTCCTCCTCGTCTTCCCGTTGCGCTGGCGCGCTTGGGAGAGAAAGACGATGTCGGGGGCGAAGAGCATCGCATCGGGCGTTCGGCAGAGCGCGGGGTCGCAGGAAAGCCAGAACCTGGACCACGGACCAGGATGGTCAGTATCTTTTAACCCGCCCCCATCCCCTTTTATCCCCTTTCCCTTTCCCCATTCGACCCTCACCCACCACCCCAGGTGGGTATATACCTTTTCGAAACCCGAAGAACAGGGCATGTATCCCCATTTACGGGGGTAAACCGGCCAGTGGGCCCCCAGGCCACGCCCATGGGGATAGGGGTCGGATAAATCACGCGCACATAGATTAAGGATCTCTGAGATCTGGCCGTTCTGGAAGATGTGCCTGGACGCCGTTGCGTCGGGAGACATTCACGACGCAAGGGACCCTCGCCGGGCCCCTGGGCAGTCAGAAAACGATTCAGGATGAAAAGCCGATCCCTGGGATTGGGTCGAGGCTTTTGGGGGTCGACGTGTTTTTATCATGACGTCGGGGGTCTGGGCATCGAGCGCCGTGGCCTTTTTTTTCCTGAACGTCCCAGAACGCTCTGAAAGCTTTCGGGAACTTTCTGGAGCAACTTATCCCGATCTTGGACCCGATTTAAGCAACAACGGAAGGGGGGGTCGAGGATTGCAGGAACGTGGTTCCGAAGGGCCCGTAAATGGCCCCTAAGTTGCAAGTTGTGGGCCCCAAAGGGTGCCAGAGAGGCGTGCGCTTCTCCACCCCCCGTTGACCGAAAAAGAAACAGCATCAACACACATTGTTGGAGGCTCCTGGATTTTTTGGATTGGCGCTGGGCCCCCCGGCGGCGCCGCCCCTGGCGCGCTCCGCGCGCCAGGGAGGGGGGGGGGCAGCGTCGATCCAAGAAGTCCGCGCGCTGCTCCAAAAGTTTCTGGTTATGCAGCTGTTCGTTCCTCGAGCTTTTATGATGCTCCAACCTTCGCCTTGATCACCAGGAAGGATTTCGAACACCAAAAACTCTGCCGAAATTTGAGGGCTTTCACGCGTCGGACCCTGGGGGGCGGTACTCGTTTGACACTGTTTCGACACTTTCCGGGTGCTCGAAAATATTTCTGGGACGCGGTCCTCATGTGCGGTGGGAGCAGCGTGATCCTCGAGATTCTTCCCCCGCCCCCTCCCCGTTCGCGAAGGCCCAAGGGCAGGCGTGTGGAGGGCAGTGGGCCGGGCGTTCCGCGCGCACCCCTCCCCCCCGGGCCCGAGGGCGGCTGCAGCTCCGCCACGTACGAGGGGCCGCCCAAGGAGCCGCGGCCCTGCTTCGTCCTCTGGGCCCCCCGCCTTCAAACGAAGGAGAAAAAAACGCTATAAACATACTGTGTTGTCGCTTTGCGCCGATTTCTTGGATCTGCGCTGGGAACGCCAAAATGTTATGTTTATGGCGTTGTTTCTTCTTCGGTTCAAGCGAGCAAGCAAGTCCGGCTGGGCGATTCGAAGAGCCGCACACCCCATTGATAGGGACGGAAACGAAGATTGTGAAACAACAAAGACGACTGCTGGTGCAAAATACGAATAACACCCCTCGCAGACTGAATGATCAGCGTCTCGCGCGGCGAAGATGCCTCGCGATTGCGCCCCCTCCCTCAGGAGGGACAACACGGCGCAGACACATGTAAACTTCGATTTCCAGTGAAATATGTTGCAGAACATCTAGGCCTCCTAGACGGGGTCGGAGTAGATGGAGTCGGAGGATCGCGCCCCATCGCCAATACATCGCCGATGCGGGTCGATGCGGACTCCGATTTTTCTTCACGTCGACGTCGCCGATGCATCGCCGACGTCGACGACGCATCGCCGATACATCGCCGATGTATCGACGATTCGGCGCGACCCTCCGACCCCGTTTAGGAGGCCTTTTTAGAGATGGGGGTGGACGACGAACATCCAGACGATCTGGAACAAGATTTGGGAGTCCTTGAAAATGTGTCGATTAATGTGTGTCTCCTTGGGCCCCGTTACTCCTCTTCCTCTTGAGTCAAGGGTCAGAGGAGAGCGAGTTGAGACAACGGTTGTTGGCCTTCTGGTGGCCCCCTCGACGCCACGGCTGGACGTCAGAAGTCTGGTGCTGTTGGTCCCGGGGGATGGGTCCAGGGACCGATTTTGAGTTGCCGCTGTCTCAGCTCGCCCTGCTTCAAAAAGGCGTCCACTCGTCGTCCTCCCTTACTTACCTTCCTCCCCTCGTCTTCTCCCTCGAGGCAGGCTTCGGTAGAGCCGACTCGGCATAGGCAACGCCCTGGGTTGCTCCCAGTGGGGCACTTGCTGGCTGAATCGTTTGTGGCGCCTCCTGGCGGCACGCCGCGACGCGGAGACCCAACAGATGTCCTCCCACTGCTTTCAGGAACGCCCCCAGCTGCCTGCAAAAGTAGAGTCTTGCGCGGTGACCGCGAGTTCACTTGCGAGGATTCGGGGGACAAGCAATGACATAAACAGAATCTCCGAGAGGTCCGCGCGGATTGCTCAAATCGGCGCTGGGGCCTCATGGCGGCGCCTCTGGCACCGCCCCTGGCGCGCTCCGCGCGCCAAGGTGGCGGGTCCAGCGCAGATCCAAGAAGTTCGCGCGGACTGTCAAAAGTTTATGTTTACGTAGTTTGTTGTTTTCCTAGCAGTGGTTTTGAGTTCAGCCGCCTTGTTGGCCGCCCGCGTGCGCCATCCGGGGTCGCGCACGAGAGCACCCAGAAGCATGCTCCTCCGCCCTGACCTCGCTCTTCCAGTATCAGCCCATGGCTCACCCGAAGGGTGGGTCTGCAGACAGCGCCGAGGTGATCCGCAGAGTCATATAAGATAACCGCAGGCGGCCCGACGAGTAATGAGAGTAGGAGTAGGAACCAGTTACGGGATGCAAGTTATCCTCGAACGACCACGTAAAGATACGGCATTCGCTGCCGAATTGCCCGTTCGGCTTGGCTGAGGAGTTTGGGGCATGCCCATCTCTGATGCGATAGAGATATTCAAGAAGGCCCAGCAGAGCCCCCCCATGCTGTGGTTCCGTCCATTGCTTTTAGGAAGGGAACCGTTGAGGAGGGCTGTTGAAAGGGGGGCAGGGGGGGAAGCATGTACCCATACATCCATACCTCTACGCCTCCTCGTTTCCAACATTCCTTAGCCTCAAGTTCACCCGCAGCTTCTCATCCATAGACCGCTTGACGCCCATACAGTTGGACCGAGGTCTAAGATCGAGGTAGGTTCGGAGAGTGTAACCCTAATGTTCTTTGTGCTTGTCCGATGTTCTTGTGCATCCTGGGGAGGGTACATGTTCTTCGTGGTTCTTTGATGCTTTTGTGTATCCCGGGGGAGGGCACCTCAAAATTTCGTTAGTTTGGTTGCCGAAGGGTCTCATGTTCTTGGAGGAAGCATGTTATTATGTCCCAGATCCGACGGTACAATCGAAAACGGTGATGGGGTTGGATCACCCTCCCAAGGGTACCCATGCATCCCTGCCTCTCGGCTCCGCCCTCGACCACTCTCGACGGCTGGACCCGCTCGAGGAGCCTCGACATGGACGTCCCAAGGGGCTTCCTACCTCAACACGTCAATGTCTTCACGAGGGGTGAAACAAGAAGCAACAGCCACCACAACAGCAGCAACACCAACAACAACAACAACGACAACCACAGCGACAGCAACAACGACAACGACAACGATAACAACCACAACGACAGCGACTACAATAACAACATCACAAACAGCATCAACCACAGCAGCAACCACAACAACAACGTCTCTGATAACAACAACAGCAACAACAACAGCCACAACCACAACCACAACCACAGCCGCAACCACAACCACAACCACAACAACAACCACCGCAACAGTAATACCAACCACAACAAAAACAATACAACACACACACAAGCCAAACAAACGAGAGATGTAGCAACACTTACCTATCCCTCCCACGCCCGACCCGTGTTTCCACGCCTCCGGCGGCCACGGGGAGGAGGACCAAACGCCGGAGGCCCCGAAGGAAGGCCACGACAGCCGACACGGCCTACAGTGGAGGCCGACGCCAAGAAACACCCTGCTTGCCTCCAAGGTGCCCCTGAGGGTGCCCTTGGTTTCTTGGGTTTCGATGGTTTTGCTGCGGGAAACGCGACGTTCCGTCCTGGAGTCTCAGGGTTGGGTTTCTTATGGATGTTTTCTTCTGGTCGGGCCTCTCCTGTACACAGCCACGGCCTTGTCTCAGGAGGGCGCTCTCGCCTGAGCGCCAGCCGCATCAGCGATCGGGAGTCGCGTTGTCGCCTGAGAGCGTTGGCCACATCGCTGTTGCGGCATGGTGCTATCGCATGAGCGCTGGCCATATCCCTGCATGAAAATTGTCTTCTCACCAGGTTGCCAGCGACACCGTTGATATGGAATTGTGCTGTCGCTGGTGCGCGGGCCACGTGCCTGATTGGGAGTGGTGCTCTCGCATCAGCGCCTGCAGCGTGCATGGCTGGGTATAGTACTGCCGCTCGAGCGCAAGTCACGTCGCGGAGGGATGGTGTTCCCGCTGGAGAGCCAGCCGGGTGCCTGATCGGGAATGGCGATCTCGCCTGAGAGTTGGCCACAAATGCATGTCGAGGCGCTTATCTTCGCTTTTTTGGATGGGGGTGGGTGCGTTATCCAGGTGGCGGGATACACAAGTATATCGCTCAAGAGACAGAGTAATCTGGGGGGAGGGCATTTGCAGTCTTGGGCGAGTTCTGGTCCAGGGCGGTAGTTTCAGAATCGCGCACGCGCTCGCGAGCGGCCTGGGGGGGAGTTTGTAGTCTGGGAGCGGCGGCGGGGTACTTGCAATCTGAGGGGCTGCACCTGTAGTCTACAGGGGCCCTGGGGAGGTAAATGTAGTCCAGGGGGTACTTCCAATTCGGAGGCCCTGAACTATTGCGGGACTCGCTCCTGGCAGATTTGCCAGAGGCGATTTGAGGGCATTGCCGAATATGAGAAAACATAATAATGCATTGGCATGTTAGACTTGTCTTCCCCCCCTGAGCTACAAGTGCCCCTCCCTGATCGTGGCGTTTTGGACTTCAGCCCCCCAGGTCTTGAATTGAGCGCAGTACTGCTGAAGGGAAAGCGCACTCTTGCCGAAGAAGAACACACGGCATAAACAACATTATTCGGAGGTCCGCGCGGATTTACCGCCTCGGAGCTGGGCCCCCCTGGCGGTGCCTCCAGCGCCGCCCCCAGCGCGCTCCGCGCGCTAGGGAGGGGGGTCCAGCGCAGATCCGGAAAACGGCCACGCGGAACTCCCCCAGTGTATGTTTATGTGGTTTGCTTATCGTCGTCTGCGCATGCGGCACGAGACTTCCGAAGTGTTCAAAAGTTGTCGCTCTAAGATCATTGCATCCCCACTATATGAATAGCGGTTGATGGATGATGGCGGTTGAACCGATTATACTATAGGCGGCGTTCGCGCGCAACAAAGTGAATGTTGTAGGGCTGCCAATTTCCATTGTTGGCCGCAACACGGGGGAATTGCGCGGGTTTGCGGATCGATCGCGCATGTTCCTCAATTGGTTCGGCAGGTTAATTGGTTTTTCGATGCCGCGCCATGTTTGGACAAATACAAAACCTGTTGGTTGGCGGCAGTGGGGAAAGCGACAGTGTCGAGATATCAAGCGGCGTCGCTGGGCATGGTCATCACCGTGCTGCTGTGGTGCCGAGGGGAGGCTTCTGGGGTGGGAGCCGAGAAAGGGGAGTGACAGGTGTGGGGTGGGAGCTGGTGGGCCAATGGCGCTCGCACCCCAGCCAGACTTATTTTCAGTAACAGTGCTCGAAGGGAGCCATGGAAACACCAGCCCCACCACACGCAACCTCGCTCTGGGAACTTCTCTCCAGCCGGAAGGGGAGGCTCACTCGCCTTCGCAGTCAGACGTGCCCAGGCATTTGTAATCGCGTGGCATGTGTGTCCGCCATTCGTCCTCTCCTCCCCCTCCTCCTCCTCCTCCTCCTCCTCCTCCTCCTCCTCCTCCTCCCAAAGTGTTCCTTCTTCTTCTCCCCCAGGCCGCCCGGACCAAACGTTTCCAGTCAGAAGGGGAGAGCACGCACATGCAATTGGAGCGCAACAGCGATGCGGGTAAGCCCCGATGCGTAGGTGTTTTGTGTCTTAGCGTTCTCGGCGAGAGGACTTTGAGGGCAGAGCTTCAGGAGTGGGAGAAACACACAGACACGACCGTTGTCGCCCCCGAAGCGGGGGGGGAAGACGAACATCAAGAGGGTATGAACAGTACGGGCAATCTGAGGATGTGTGCAGATGTTTGTGTGTCCCTGGGCCCCTTCAGAGATGTGGGCCCGACACCCGCCGCACAGCCGCCAGCCCGGCGGCGGATGCGGATGCGCCGCCGCTCCTCTGCCTCTTCCCCGCCGAGGACCTCTCCGCGTCGCCGCTGCACACGGTCGTGTGGTCGCGCATCATCCTCGACGAGGCCGGGCCCTCCTTGGCATCGCTCGGACGTGTGCACCCGAGTTCTTCGGCGAGGACCACCGAGGAGCATCCTGGACCACCGAGCCCAAAGAACACGCACGGAACCGACACACGCACGGGGAGTGGACGTCCGAGCGACGGCAAGATTCGGGGGAAACGCGGGCAGCGGCGGCGCCTCCAGCGCCGCCCCTGGCGCGCAGCGCGCGCCAGGGAGGGGGTCCAGCGCCGATTCGAGAAATCCGCGCGGGCCACCGAAGTTTATGCTTATGCCGCTTGTGCTTCTCGGGCAGCGGGCCTCGGAAGGCACAGAGGCGATACCGAGACCAGCGGAATTCGGGGGTGGACAGAAGCCCCACCCTGACACGTCGATTAGTTGGTGAACTGTGCGTTTTCGCTTCTCGAGAGGGCGCCGCGGCCCTCATTTTCCAGGCCTGCGCCCGCCAGGTGTGGGCCCGAGGCCGCTTTCACGGAACCACGGCTTGCTGAACGGGGCCCCGTCCGTCCCCGAGGAGCCCCGGCTCGGACGACGCGACGTGCTCCTTCCCTGAAGGGTCGGGGGTGGAGAGAACCCCCAACAGTGACACGTCGAGTAGTGAATTGTCCGTTTTCGGTTCTCGAGAGGGCGCCGCGGCCGTTATTTTCCAGGCTTGCGCCCGCCAGGTTTGGGCCTCAGGTCGTTTTCACTAAACCACGTTTTACTAAAGGGAGGTCTGTCCATCCCCGACAGGGGCTGCACCCATCGGTCGCCACGGCGGGACCTCTGGCCCCGGGCAGCGCCGAGGGCGACGTCCGACGCGTGCCGGCGTCTGCGCAGGCGCTCGCCACGGCGTGCACCACCGCAGGCCTGCACGGGCCGCCGGGGGGGGGCGCCTCGGGGCTGCCCACGGCGTCCCTGTTTTTTTGTGGTCGGGGCACGGGCTCCCTTTTTGTAATAAAAACAAAAAAAAAACAAAACAAAAAAAACGCGCGAGCGCGAGTTTTTCCCCTTCGAACCACTCTGCCCGCAGTGTGTCCAGCCCTTCGTGTTGCCAACTTCCCCGCAGCGCATGAGGAGACGCGGGCTACCAGTACCCAAGGATCGCCGATGTCGCAAGGGCTGCGCTGAGGCTTCACAGCTTCTGATGCCATACCCTTAAGCAGGGGAGGAGTTTGAGCATGGATACTGGAGGGAGAGAAAGAGAGAGAGAGAGAGAGAGAGAGAGAACAAAAAAATCTGCTCCAGGATGTTCCAGCTTGTTTCTTAAGGGAGTGCCTTCGATTAGATATGCACGCGCAGTCGATATCGAATTGTATGTATGGATTACATGCGACCCTTGTCAGCCCTGGCGCTGGCGAAATGCCATGGCGCCGTGTGATGTGTCAGGTCTCCGAGCTCCGCTAGCAGCCAAAGGTCCGACCCCTGGGCTTGAGACTGACGTCGCGAGGGCTCCAAGCCAGATCTGGTTTTGAAGGGTAGCTTTGCACAGTCAAGTCAAAAGAGTCGAAGGGCACGTCGAAGCTTCCAATGTGCTGGTCTGGGAGCCTTTGGCCTCCCTTCGAGTTTCGTTGTCCTCGCGGTGTAGCCTGAGGGCCCCCGAGGAGGGGGGGCGCAGCACCGCGTATTTTGGCAGGCTTCTCGCACATTGCCAGCGCTGGAGTGGGCCTTGCCCGACCGCGTCGTGTCACGCATGTGCATGCTGGTTTGCAGCGGAATGCACTTGAGAGTCCCGTCAACCCGCATGCTAAGGATGCACAACCTTACCAAAGGATGCCCTTGCATCATTGCCTCCTCGGCCCATCCTTGGCCACTTTCGTTGGCCGCGCCCCGCTCGAAAAGCTTCGAAGTGGGCGTCCAAGGCCCTTACATCCTTATCGCGCATCCGTATGATACGGGCCGACTGCAGGGAATTCGTGGTTGCAGGGTGCTTGTGAGAAGGTGTGGTATCGTTATTCATTTTCGTCCCGATGAGTATCCACTTCCCCTTCTCCACAACACAAGGTCCCACCTCTTCCTTCCAAGATGTGTCCTGTCCAAACCTTTTTTGCATAGCCTTCCCCTGCATCCCCCTCGCATTCCGCAACGATGTATGTGGTTAGACAAGTCTTTATTGAAATGGTATGCTAGGTTTCCTAGATCTGGCACCCGCACATCGATGGTTTGAACAAGCCGCGGGAAGACAAGCAAGTTGAAGGCAAAGCTGAATAATCGATATGTATTCTAGGGGTCTCAGGTCTGATTGCGCCATTCTCCCATGTAGTCCAGCTCCTACCATCAGGAACGCCCAGCAAGGAACAAAGCCCGTGCTGGGTCCCACAGCGCCTGGGCGCACAAGGAGCGCTACAGGCACAACCATGGAATGACCTGAGAGACCGCGAGCCCCTTCCGACTCCGAACTGTTCCGTGCTTCAACATTCTGACTGCATGGCGGGGCCACACGGATGGAATTCTATGCTACTTCCTCCTCCTCCTCCTCCTCCTCCTCCTCATCCTCCTCCTCCTCCTCCTCCTCCTCCGGCGTGACCTCCTTGGTGTACCACCCTCCCTATTGGCAGGACCGCCCACACGCCACCTCCCTCTTCCTTTGGGGCCGGCAGGGGTCTGCCTGAACGGTGTCTTGGCGACTTCGTGGGCCGTGTTCGTTTCGACTCCATTCTGCAGCAGAGGTGGATCGGAGACAGCGAGGGAGCACGAAACCAAAAGGAGCACGAAAAGCACGGCTTATAGTCAGGAGGGAGAAATAAACACGGACACAATTCGTCGTCGATCCCAAGGAAAGCATAGGAAAGTGGGGGAGAAGTGGGGGGGAAACGAAAATCCAGAAAATATTAGAAATTATCTGGAATGTGTGTATTTGTGTTTTTTATATGTGTCCCTGGGCCCCTTCATGTAGGTCGATCCCCAGGGACCGGGCCGAGCAAACCTCGGCAGACTCGCCAACACAGGGGCCTCGAAGAGAGCCGCTGCGCCCGCGGCCTCGCCCCGCCCCGCAGCGCACGTGGTCCGCCCGCCCGACCGGAGGTCGCTCGCTGGCGACGGGGCCGAGCAGCAGGGGTGGAGGGTTTCTCCGGAGGACTTCGGCGACCCGTCCTCCTCTCTCGACCTCCTCCTCCTCCTCCTCCTCCTCCTCCTCCTCCTCCTCTTCCTCCGTCTCCTCCTCCTTCTCCTCCTCCTCCTCCTCCTCCTCCTCCTCCTCCTCCCCCTCGTCGCCCTCCCCTCTTCGGGTCGCCTATGCTCCCGTCCAAACAGGGGTGGACATACACGGTGTTTTGGCGATCTCGTGGGCCGTTTTCGTTCCGACTTCGCTTTGCAGCAAGGGAGGAACGGAGGCAAAACGAGAGCAGACGGACACGAAACGAAGACAGAAAGCACCGCTTAGGTCGAGCCCTGGGGCCGAGTAAACCTCAGCGGAAGCGCCGCTGCGCCGCTGAGGTCCGAAGCCCCGCGGCGCCGCTGCGCCTCTAAGCGCCGCTGCGCTGCTGCGGTCCGAAGCCTCGTGCCTCGAGGACACGGAGCCTCGAAGCGCCGCTGCGCCCGCAGACTCGCCTCTCGCCTCTCGCCTCTCGCCCCGCCCGCCGCCTGCCCGCCCGACCGGTGCTGGGGCCCGGCCAGCCCGATCGCTCCCTCGCAGCCCCGCCCGCGCGCGCTGGTGTCCCTCAGGACGGAAAGAAGCACACAGACACAATGAATCGACGATTCCCAGGAAAATGTGGGAAGATCTGGGGAGTGGGGGGGGAAGACAGAAACCCCGAAAACATATGGGAACAGATGGGGAACCTGGTGATATTTGTGTCCACTTCTGTGTGTGTCCTTGGGCCCCTCCAGTCCCGCCCGCCCCACCGAGCCGCCCCTCGGGGCCCGCCCGCCCGGCCCCTCGGCGGCGAGCCCCGGGGGGTGGCAGTTTCGGGCTCGAGGCGCGCGGTTCTCGGGCGCCGTCGCCGCGCCTCGGCGGTCTGCCGGCCTCGGGGCGCGTTCCGGCAGCTGCGCCTCGCCGAGGGCGTTCCGGGGGTGTCCTCCTCCTCTCTCAATTTCCTCTTCCTCCGCCTCCTCCTCCTCCTTCTCCTCCTCCTCTCTCAACTTCCTCTTCCTCCGCCTCCTCCTCCTCCTCCTCCTCTCTCCTCCTCCTCCTCCTCCTCCTCCTCCTCCTCCTCCTCCTCCTCCTCCTCCTCCTCCTCCTCCTCCTCCTCCTCCTCTCCCTCCTCCTCCTCCTCCTCCTCCTCCTCCTCCTCCTCCTCCTCCTCCTCCTCCTCCTCCTCCCCCCAAATCGTCCCGAACGGCCACCTGGCAGCCGAGGTATTACCGAAAACCCACCAGGCGTCGGAGAAGGGGCGGGCCTTCTCAGAAGGCTCGGAAGTCCCCGGGCATTCCGAGAAGCTTTCTTCTTCCCGAAGACACCGAAAAGTTCTCAGAAGGCGCGGGGGGGTCGGAGAAGTCCCGCCGCCTGAGGCGGCCTTCTCCTTCTCACCTCCCCGCCCGCCAGCCCGACCCGCCCGTCAGGGTCCGACTGCTGCTGGCCCGCTGGCGAAGCGGCCCGCCGGCGAAGCGGCCCGCCGGCGAAGAGGTCCGCTGGCGAAGCGGTCTTTGGCGAAGCTGCCTCGTGGCCTCCCGGAGGCGGGCGGCCCACGAGGCCGCCCAAGAGCCACAGAGTGCCCCGCCCAGGCCCCGTAGCTCGGCATCGCTCCAGCGTGTACACGTCTGTTCCTCGGCGAGGGCCATCGAGGAGCATCTTGACCATCCTGGAAAAAAAAACGCACGACGTCGAGCAATGCACGGGGAACGGACGTCTGAGCGATGGGGAGATCGTGTTCTCCTGGAGGCCGTCGTCAGACCGAATAATTTCATGTGCAAACGCATGCTGTCTGAAAAAGTCTTGCCTATGCCACCCTGAAGGGCGCAAGAGGGTGGCCATCTGGACGGGCTTCCGGCCTCCCTGGACGGTCCCCCAGAGGAGTCCGCCCCAGGATCCTCCCAGCGATTCTAGGGACCCCACGAGGTCAAGCCTAGATCCGAAAACGCTCCCCGTGAGAGTATGAAACAGTTGTCTAGGTAGAACCATGGCATAACGCACCGCTGTGTGGTGACGTTGGCCTGCTGTGCGCTTCAGAGTGTCCTCGAGGGATTGGGGATGCAGCCATCGAGGGAAGGGGTCGAAGGGTGACGACGAGGAGGAGCAGGAAGAAGGAGGTGCAGGCGATAGATGCGGAGGGGCGAGGGAACGAGGGGAGGAGGGCGAGAAAGAAAATAAGAAGTCGGAATTGAAGAGGCACACTCGCGCGCTTCGCCCGTGATTGTTTGCTTACTCCCAGACTCAAAACGCGCGCGTTTCCACATGCAGATACAGATGTACACACGAATGTGTACGTGTTAGACGTGGGTACTACAGGTGGAAAGTAGACTCAAGCGAAGCGATAGACAAGTGACAAGTGAGCTACATGCGAGTAAAGGCAAGCTGTCTGCAAGCTCAGGGCTAAGCTGAACGGTAGATGTACAACCTGCCACACGGAAAGGCACATCAATGGTACGTCACACACGGAAGTTAGCACCATACAAGTTCGCAGCAAGTGAAACGCGTGTGCAGCAGAGGGCCAAGACACAAATGACGAACAGAGAGCGAGTTCCATGCAAGGTCAAAGGCAAGCCACACGCGAGCGCAGAGTAAGTTAACATTAGGCTAACGGACACGGTGGCCATGATATGTTACAGACCAGACAGCGTGGATAGCTGCATACAGGCTGATGATCGACCAATATGATGGCAACCACTCTAATGGATAAACCAGAGGCAAGCGAATGTAACCCCAGAAGGCAATCTAGCATCTAGCCACTAGGATCCACAGGGAACAGGGAGGGCATAATCAAGGAACCTAGTATCGGAGCATCGTCGTCACTAGCCTGATTGCATAAGATTGTGCAGAGCTCAGGTGGAGCGAGGGAGTCCCGCTCACGCGAACTTCGTTCAAATCAAATCGTGCACATGCTGGTTGATACGGGGCAAGCAGACCTCGTTGCGTCAATGTTGTTGTGTTTTGCGAAGGCCTTACGGTCAGTGCCGCCGACCTTGAAGGGAGACGACGACGACGACGGCGGCGGCGGCAACGACGACGACGCTGACGTGGGCCAGGGATGGTTCTTGGAGTCTCCTCGGAAGTCTCTCGGGGGCCTCTGGGGAGAAATTTTGGGGCCTCGTGGGAGCCTCTTGAGGACCTCTTGGGAGCCTCTTGGGGGCCTCTTCGGGCTTCCAGGGGACCTCTCTTGTGGGCCTCCTGGGGCCCCTGGGGAACCTCTAGGGGCCTCCTGGGAGCCTCCTCTGTGGGCCGAGAGCTCGGAATGTCTGTTCGGGTCCTCCGTCTGGGCACGCTCTCGGAGCCGCCTTGGAGGCGTTTTTGGGCTCGGCGGCCTTTTGGGGCACTCTTGGCCTGTCTTGGTACTTTCTGAAGCCCCAGGGCCCCCCAGGGGGGGAAAACTTATCTGAGTGGCGACCCCCCCGGGGACCCCCCCAGGACCCACCCCAGGACCCCCCCCAGGACCCCCCCGGGACCCCGGCTCCCCTTTTGACTCGATTACGACATTGCTAGATTTTTCTCTCACTGACATGCTTGAGGAGGAGGGTGCAGGGAAAGGGGACGGCGGAGACGAGGACTGACGGAGTCGACGACTTGAACAGCCAAGCCCCTCACACACGCCAACAGGGTCGGCGGATTTCTTGTTTTTATCCTGGCTGTAGGGGGGAGGGGATTGTGGGGGACTGTCCATCATTTCGGGGGCCCAAAGAGGAGGGTGGAGGGGGGCCAGGGCTGCCAGGGGGGGTTGCAGGATTCAAGGCTTTGACGGTGGCGTTGGGTCTGGGATTGGGCAAGTGCGCTCACTGAGGGGACTTGTTGGAAGTGGAATAAGATTCTGTCGTGGCTTAACATGAATAAGCCAAAGAACGTCCTCCAATCCCACCTGCTTCTCAGGTGATGGGCCAGGGGAATCGGGACATCCTATGCCCCACAATATTGGAGTCGCTACTCCTTTTTGGAGTCGACAACTGCAGCCCTCTGGGACGGACGGAGGAGGAGAGGTTGCCTCAGTACGTCAGGCGCATTCCGAAGTAGCGAAAGTTTGACAGAGCTCCTTGGGCGCGCCTTGCTTGCCTGCGGCAGGCGCACCGCATCAAGGGGCGCACCAACAGCACCGCGCTCGCCGCCTACGAGCTGAAGAGTTCCTGCGCGAAGTGGCGCCGGCCCCGCCCTCATGCTGCCAGACCGCCCACGGAGACAGCATGTCGCGCCCAACTTCGGAGGTCAGAGGAACAAGCACCTGCATAGATTGTCGGAGATCCGCGCGGATTTCTTGGATCGGCGCCGCGCCCCCCTGGCGGCGCCTCCGGCGCCGGTCCCAGCGCGCTCCCTGCGCCAGGGAGGGGTTCCAGCCCGGATCCAAGAAATCCGCGCAGATTTCCGAAAGTTCGTGCTTCCGTGGTTGCTTGTTCCTTGGCTGCCGCAGGTGACATTTTCTATAGTTGGTATCGCCGCTTGCGTGCGTTTGTGGAATCCCCACCCGTGCCGCCCATGCAGAGGTGCTTGACGGGCACGCCGCTGCAGGCCAGCTCGCGGCGCTGCTCCCAGCGCGTCCCTTTCCCTTTGCATGATGTCATGGGCTTATGTCCACCATGCCATCTCAATCTGAGTCGAGTCGGCTGGCAAAATCCCGAAAGTCCCGAACGTGAAAAGCTTGCTACTTATGTGTTGCCTTGATCGGTTGCCCCTCTTCCAGCACTTGGCGTCCACATGGCGCCATACTTTCTGCTATGTGTTTTTTGTTGTGCTCCTCTTCGGTCACGCATCTCGTTGAGCGAATCAGGGGAGCTTGCACGTTTTCACATATCACACATTCACTGGTTCGATTGCTCGCCGTGGCTGATATGCTCATACTGTTCAGGGTACTCGATTGTGTTTGAGTCGCCACGTTCACGCTTAGCTTTTCACCTCTGCCCGTTCACGCCAAGAGTCGTCTCTTTGAAGTGCAGCCGTCCAGTCAATGCGCACACCTGGTCCACTTGCAGGGTACCACGCGTTGAATGCAGATGGTGCCATGCTGTATGGTTGACTGATCGTTAGGGGAGCAAGCATCGACATGAACAGAAGAGCCGGGAGGTCCGCGCGGACTCCTCGGATCGGCGCGGGGCCCCCTGGCGGCGCCTGCGGCGCTGCCCCTGGCGCGCTCCGCGCGCCAGGGCTCGGGGTCCAGCACCGATCCGAGGAGTCCGCGCAGACCTCCGAGTTTGTGTGTGTGTCGTCGTCTGTCCCCATGCCGAAGTGATGAGCAGAACTTCGAGTGACGGGCATAACTTCGAGTGGTTGGGACACGTCCCACGACTTGGGCATATATGTATATGTATGTATGTATGAATGAATGAATGAATGAATGAATGAATGAATGAATGAATGAAATGTATGTATGAATGAACGAATGAATGAACGAATGTATGTATGTATGCATGTATGTATGCATGTATGTGTATATATATAACAGCAATCATTGACGTCTGTTTGCAGCTCGGGTCGTGGCCAGGTCTGAAACTTTGATCCGCGATCCATCGCTCATTTGTGCTCAAGTGTCTGTTCTGCTGAGAAAGGTCAGCAGCATATTTTCGAGTGGGCCCTCTCGTGGAGCTCGGCGGCCCATTTCGCATACACTGTGACACGGGACGCGGTTGCGCCCACCAGGTGCGAGTGCACCTGGCCCGCGGCGCCGGTTGCCGCGGAGATCTGCGAGCCCGTGTTCGAGATCGTCCGCGAGGCGGCGGGGCGTTCCGTGGCGTGCCCGTCTGAGCCGGCCTGCTCGTGCCCAGCTTCAACGCCCTGTCCAGACCGTGCGTGCGGGGAGATGCCGCTCGAGAGCCCGCTGTGTAGCGGTCGGGCGCTCTCCTTGGAGATCTTTCTCGGCTCGAGCCTGGTCTGCGTCGCCGGGGGCTACGTGATGGGCAGGGCGGGAGGCCGGAAGAGGCCTGCGCGCCCCGCCCGTGCTGCAGCCGTGCAGGGACCAGCGGCCCGTGAGGAGTTCGCGGCATGGCTCAAGCAGTGGCGAAGCGTCCCAGCTCGCCTAAGGCCCCACCAAACAATGTTCTAAGAACCTCTCGTGGTTCCCACGAAATGTTCTTGAAACATGTTTGGCTGGGACTGATTTGTTTTGACACATCGGGTTTTTGTTCTAAGAACATTGTTTATGTTCATAGAACCTCTTTGGGTTCTAACGGCATTTCGTGGTATGACTATAGGAATGCCAGGACGGCCGGTTCCTGCTCAAATAGCGGCGGCCAATCGGACTTGAGATGTGGACGAGCTGCAGATACTCGTCTGCTACGAGAACGACGCGGCGGGGCTACACTACCATCGGATCCCTTTCACGATGGTCTCGCCAGGGCGCTGGATCATCGGGATCCCCGACGGTGATGTCTACGACGAGGAGTTCAACGGCGTGGGGGTGCGACCGCTAGCGCGGAATGGGGCGTTCCCTGCAGACCTCGCTGGCGTGCTGTACGTCTTCAGGGGCCTGCAGCGGGCCGCGGCGAGGATCGCCACCATGCGGGAGCACGCGCGCGGGACCGCGGAGGTCCCAGGCGTGACGCCCGCGGCTGCTGGCGCGGACATCGCTGGCTCGAGCTGGCGAATGGCGGACCCGTCGTCGGAGGCGTTCGACCAGGTCATCACCGCGGCGGAGTCCGCCGATTCGACCGAGGACCTCGGCGACGGCACGAAGGTCATGAAGCTGGCGCTGACCACCGGAGTCACCCGACTCGTCGAGCTCGCGAAGGACGCGGACCATGACGATTGTCTTGTTCATAAGCGACCTGGCCTTCCTGGAGGTGCTTCAGGTGACTTGCGGCTTCTCGGACATTACGTGAATTTTGCGAAGGAGGGAGTCCTGCCGCTTCACATGGAGCTGGTGACGCCCAAGTGCTTCGCTGACTGGCCGCATCCTGGGCCGATGGCGATCCGGGAGTTTACGGAGGCCATTCTTGAAAACGGCGGAGACCTCCATTTGTGGCTCAACGCCTTCATGTGGAAAGTCCAGACTCAGCGATAACTCTTCCGTGACCCACGAGCTCGGGTACCTGGTCCAGATAGTGCGGCTCGCCGTCAGTTACGACCAGGTGGATCACACGAACATGGCCTCAATCGAACAGGCTGCGCGCCGAACCCACGAGATCCAGCAGGCCACCCGGAGGAATCCGAAACACCCCGGCTTTTCGGGCTTGGACATCGGCACGATCGGCTCTTGCGGCGAGATCCGGGGTGCCCGCCTGCATGGCTTCAGCACGCGGCTCGGCGCAAAGCAGAAGCAGGAGGCCAAAACCATGGAGTCGCAATGAAAGCGGCGAGAAACACAGGCTGCAGAGCGGCGACGCACTGCCGATCGCGAGCCGCCTTCGGAACCCAAGGCGACAGCCAACGCCACGGCTTCTCCTGCCAGCGGGCAAGAGGGCAGGGAGAACGACTTCACGGCAGCCGGCTGTCGCGGAAGAGACTTCCCTGCCGGGCCCCTTGGGTGCTGAGTGGAGAGTTTTTGAACAGAGGAGGTGGGCCCGAGCATGGCGACCCATTCCCGCCGCTGGTTCCGCGTGTGGCCCGGCTTGGTGATCGCGGGCCCCCTCCACGCCGACTCGCGCCTGGTCTCGCCGCTCGTCGCAGCAGGCAGCTTCAGGTCGCCGTGACGGCGCCCAGCTTAAACGCTCTGGCTGCCTCTACTGCCTCTTCGATTCGTTCGGTTGGCGCTTCGTTTGGGACATCAGACTCATCGGCGTCATCTTCTACCCAGTCAGCTGATGTGGCGCGCGCGAGGGGCGCGGCGAGCAGCCATGGGCCGATGCCGACGGGCACGGCAGCGCGAGAAGTTTCCCGGGGGCTTCTGAAGTCGAATGATCTGCTTTGCGCTGGAGCTTCGCCCCGCATCAGAATGATCTCTTGGTGGTCGCGAAGGGCAGGGCGGCGCCAGAGCCCGCCGTCGACTTACCACCGCCTGAGGAGGCGGCTTCCCAGATGCATCCTGCGAAGCGTCTCGTTCGCACGCGGCCTGAGATCGACGCATGGATCGAGGGGCGCCCCACTTTCGGGCTATACTGGGGCCCTTCTTTTTGCCAGGACCGAGCCGCTCGTCTCGATCTCAATGGGGAGCTGTTCGAGAAGGGTCTCTTTGGTTTTTCTTTAGGCTCGCTTCGAGGCGAAGGTTGGGATGTTCCGCGCGCGGAAGTCTTCTCGACGCAGGGCCCGGCACATCGTGGATGTCAGGATGCCTAGCGGCCACCTCCGCCCACCTCGAAGGACGAGACTCGGAGGTGCTGGGGCGCTGGCCCAGCTCGACGGCTGGCTTGATCAGGGCGAGCTGGCGGAGCTCAGCGAGCGGTGCGACCCGATCTCGGAGCTGCCGCCCCTGGCTGCGCCAGGTCCGCCGCCTGCCCGGCGGGGGCCGCGCCGCCGAGGCCACGGCGCTCTGTCTGGCGCGTCGCACGGGCGGGCCGGGGCCGCCGGGGCCCGCCAGGCGCCACGCCGCGCTTGCGAGGGGGGCCGTGCGGTGGGCCTCCGCGCTGCTGCGCTGCAGCGCGGCGGCCAGGCTCTGTCTGCCGCGTCGCCGTCAGCGTCGCCGGGTCGCCCGCCGCCCAGCTCCTCAGCAGCGCCCGCGCCTCCTCCCCGGCTCGCCCCAGCGCTTCCGAAGCAAAAGCGACCAGGGCAAGGCCTGGGTAGCGCCGGCGTTTGCGGGCGCGCCGCCGCCGCTGCGGCCACGTCGCGCGCGGCGCGGCTTCGCCTGGCGGCCGCGCCCGCGCGCAGGGGCGCGTCGGCGAAGGTGGCCCCAGCGACTGGGTCGGTGAAGGCTACGTCCAGCCGCGTAGCATCGAGGGGGCCGTCCAGGCGCGGCCTGTCCCAAGCGGGGACGAATTGCTCCATCCTCGCGCCCGTGGCGCCCCGCGCCCCCAGCCAGCGCGCGAGCCGATCCTGGGCGCCGTCGCGCTTCAACACCGCGCCGCCCCCGACGGGGCAACCCAGGGGGTGCTCAGGGCCCGCGCGCAGGTCAGCTCCGCAGCAGGAGCTCTCGGGGCGGCGCCAGGGGCAAGTTGCGCTGGCCCCCGGCGGCAGGGGCATGCGGGGCCGCAGGGCCAGCGCCAGGCGGAAGTGCTCACCCGCGGAGACGTGGTCCAGCCCCGTTCCCCGCCCCCCATTCCCCCTCCGCCGCCTCCTTCTCCTCTCTCCTCCTCGAGGCCGGAAAACCCACGGCCCCTTTAGTTTTGCTTGCTCAAGACCTCGAGCAGGTCCCTGATGGGTCTGTCCGCTGCACATGGTGTCACTGCTCGGCGAGGACGCCCAAGGCTCGAGCTCGCTTGGAGCGGCCTGGCGCGCGGTGCGAGCCGACGGCCTCGCATATCTTTTTATCGGCAGTCAGGGCGGAGCGGCTCGGTGGGGCCGTGCCTAGGGCGCGTTCGAGTGCCGTCCGATTGGCCCTGTCGTCGCTCGGGCTTCGGGGAGTGTCGTCGTCGTCGACGTCGTCGTCGCCATCTTTGACCCGAGCGCCTGACGTTTTCGAGTTTCAAGAACACCTGGTGCAGCCCGCGGGGCGCTACTTGGTCTGCAGGCGCTGTGGCGCCCACGCGCTGATAGAGCAGCCAGCTTTCCGCTCGCTGCTGCAGCCCTGTCAGGGCACTCCGACCGCGGGCCAGCTCTGGTTCCGCGACGAGGTCCTGGCTGGGCGCGAGCCTCGCTAGCTGTGGGCTGGCGGTGAGGCCGCGCTGTGCTCGGCAGCACCGTCGGCCCTGCTGCCACGGGGCTCGTTCTTCTTCTCGGGCCTCGGAGCCGCTGCTCCAGGCCTTCACGGCGGCCGCTGCCGCCCACTTTCCTGCCAACCCTCATTCGAATCGGATGGGGCGCCTCGGCCTGATCCCTGATCCCTCCTCCCTCCCTCCCTCCTTCCCTCCCTTCGTTCCTCCCTCCCTCCGTCCTTTTCTCCCTCCCTCCTTCCCCCCCTCCCTCCCCCCCTCCCTCCCTCCGTCGTTCCCTTCCTCCCTCCCTCCCTCCCTTCTCCTCCTCCTCCTCCTCCTCCTCCTCCTTCTCCCTCCTTCTCCTCCTCCTCCTCCGCCTCTTCCTCTTCCTCCACCTCTTCCTCCGCCTCGTCATCATCTTCATCACCAGCATCATCATCAACATCATCATCATCCTCAGCATGTCATCATCAGCATTGTGTTGGTACCTTTTTGTTTGGTCCCGGCGCCTAATCAGCCCCGATCTCCCAGCACAGTCGTTGAATAGAACAGGACGTCACGTATGAATTACGTGCCCGGAACAAATGAGAGGGGGAAGCAGAGAAGAACAGAGAGGCGGAGAGGGGAGGGGCATACCCCCAAACATCATTGTTCCAGCCTCCTGTCTCAACGCCTCCGAACGCGCAGAACCGCGTCGGAGAGCTGTACTCCCTCATTCGCTTCCTGAGGATGCGCCCGTACGCCTTCTACTACTGCAAGAAGAAAGGCCGCTGGCCCCGCATTCCACCCCACATCCACATCCTGGCTGGCTTTGTAGACGTTAACCGGAATCACGCGCCGAAGTCAAGGGGCGCACAGAGGGCGTGGGGTGAAGACCATATGGAGACCATGATGAAAGGGGAGATGGAGAGTAGGACGAGGACGAGGACGAGGACGAGGACGAGGACGACGAGGAGGAGGAGGAGGAAGAGGAGGAGGAGGGGGGGAAATGGGGGGGAGGGTAGTGATGTCAGGAAGGGGAGGGTAAACGGGCGAGCAGGAGGGGGGAGGAGGAATAGGAGGATCAGTGAGCGAAAGAGCAAGCGAGAGGCGGAGGACAGGGAGGGAGGAGGAGAATAGGAGTTACAATGCCCCACGCGATGCGCCGTCATGATGCTCGAGACCAGGAATCACCGCCAGGCTCTCGTAGGGCCGCCCCTCCTAGGGCAACAGACCAGTACCTCGCGTCGCCACGCCCCCTTAACCCGAGTGGACGTGGACATCGACAAAATGTTTGTTTCGGCTTCCAACTCGTCCTACTCCGTCCTTCACCTTTCTCGTTCTCCTCCTCCTCCTCCTCCTCCTCCTCCTCCTCCTCCTCCTCCTCCTCCTCCTCCTCCTCCTCCTCCTCCTCCTCCTCCTCCTCCTCCTCCTCCTCTTCCTTCACCTCCTCATCCTCCTCCTCCTCCTCCCCTTCCTCCTCTTCCTCCTCCTCCTCCTCCTCCTCCTCCTCCTCCTCCTCCTCCTCCTCCTCCCCCTCCTCCTCCTGCGCCCGCGGCGGGCAGGCTGCGACTGCGAATGCCTGACCTTCAGCCGCGACCGCTACTGCCCCAACTGCGGCCCGCCCGCCCAGCGCCGACAACGACCACGACGACGACGACGATGACGAAGACGACGTCATAGTCGACGACGACGACGACGAGGCCGACGACGACGCCGACGACGCAGACGAAGCCAATGCCGCCGCCAACGATGCCGCGACGACGACGTCGACGACGGCGACGATGACGACGACGCGGCCGCCGCCGACGACGACTAGGCCGACGACGACGGCGACGACGCCGATGCCGACGCCAACGCCGACGACGACGCCGATGCTGACGCCGACGCCGACAACGACGACGACGACGCCGCCGACGCCGACGCCGACGCCGATGCTGACGCCGACGCCGACAACGACGACGACGACGCCGCCGACGCCGACGCCGACGCCGACGAGGCCGACGACGATGACGACGCTGACGCCTACGCGGACGACGACGACGTCGCCGACGCCGACGCCGACGGCGCCGACGCCCACGACGACAACGACGCTGCCGCCGTCGACGACGAGGCCGACGACGACGCCGATGACGACGACGACAACGACGACGCCGACGAGGCCGACAACGACGAGGCCGACGACGATGACCACGCTGACGCCTACGCGGACGACGACGACGACGACGACGACGACGATGCCGACGACGCCGCCGACGACGACGCCGACGACGACGACGACAACGACGCCTCCGCCGCCGACGACGAGGCTGACGACGACGCCGACGCCGATGACGACGACGACGACGACAAGGCCGACAACGACGACGCCGACGACGATGACGACGCTGACGCCGACGCCGACGACGACAACGACGCCGCCGCCGCCGAGGAGGCCGACGACGACGCCGATGACGACGACGACGACGACGACGACGAAGACGATGGCAGCAGTGGCGGCCCGCGGCTGGGGTGCTTGCGGCGGGCCAGTGGCGGCGGCCAGGGCGCCTGGTCGGGGGGAGGCTCGGCGGGGTCGCGCGGTTCCGAATTCGATGCTCGATTCCGGCGCGGGGCCGATTCGATGTGTCGAGGCCTGCATAATGGGGTCCGAGTAGAGTGGGTCGCAAGGTCGCTCCGCATCGCCGATGAAATTGCGATGCGGCTCGATGTGAATCCCGTTTTGCTTCACATCGACGTCGCCGATGTATCGTCGATGCGGCGCGCGATCCTCCGACCCCATCTGCTCAGACCCATTTGGGAGGCCTCCAATTTGGCAGCCGACCCTCGTCGATCTCTTGTCGATCCGATACCTGCCGATTCGACGCTCGCGTCGATCCAGTTCGATGTATCACGGGAAGGGTCCCAACATGTGTCGCAAGTAGGTTGTATTTATAATTCGATTTGTTTTAAGAGCCCAGATTTGTTGGGAATGATTGTGGTGCAATAGCCCGACACCCTCGTGATCTATCGGCCCGATGTTGGGGCCGCCTGGGTTCGCTCGCGCTCTCCCGACCGTCTCACGCTGGCCGCCCGCGGCGGGCGCACGGCCGAAAGTGGCGCCACTGCCGCGCCGGGTCGTGCGGATCGCAGATTACCAGAAAGTTACGTTGCACATGGCTCGAGTAGGGGGAAACACGTAGAACAGTCAGTAGATCCACGGTGCACTGCAGGTATGTTCCGTAGATTCGGCGGGGAATCAATTTTGGGGTAAGTCGATTCTGTAGTCGCCCCCCTACTCGAACTGCCGGTTTCGCGCGTGCGGCGAGCCTTCGTGAACCGGACCTGGCTGCAGCCCCCCAGAGGAGCGGGGAGGGCGGCGCCGGCGGACGAATGCAGTTATATGTCGGGAGCCTCGAGACGGGGGTCAATGCAAACGGGGGTCAGCCACGGCACCAGATCCTGCAGGATCTTGCGAAGACCCCCTCTGGCTGACCCGGGTTAGCGAGCCGTTCGTGGCCGCGAGGCGGCCGCACATATTGGCTGACCCGGGTTTGTGAAGACCTGCGTTGCAGTTTTTTTTTTATTGCATTGCAGTTTTTGGTTTCCTGCTGACCCGGGTCTGGATTGACCCGGGTCAGAAGATCCCCGAATATGGACGCGGGGTCGCACACCGTCGGAAGGGGTGCTCGCCGAGAGTTCGAAGCAACACCTAGAGCACTATCGCGGCGCCGTGCCTGCGGCACCCAGACCCTCTCGGGTAATGAAATGGTCATGACGACAGGTTTTTCCACATTTTCGGCCTCTGGAGGCCGTTGCGGGCCCTCGGGGCCGTCAAAGAATGACTCGGGATGAGAAACGGGTCCTGGGAAGAAATGGGTGGAGACCTTTGGGGGTCGACGTTGCCAAAAAAACATAGCGTCGGGGGGTTGGGCATGGCGCATGAGGTGAGGAAAGAGGGAGGGAGGGAGGAGGGAAGTGCGGAGGGGGGAGGGATGGGGAAAAGCAGGGCGCGAAGATTGCCGAGGCAAAGAGGGCGGAGGGAAAAGGGAGGGGGTTGGGAGGGAGGGGGGGAGGGGGAAGGGGGGAGGGTGAGGGGGGGAGAGGGAGAGGGACGAGGCGGGTCAGGGGAGAGAGCCGCAGGAGGAGAAGGCAGAGGTGTGGGCGGAGCAGGAGGCTGCTGTCGGGCATCGCCCCCATCGACGCGGTCCCAGTTTCACAGGATGAACTCCGCAACATCTGGAACCAGAACCAGATCCAGGTCTGGAGTTGGAACGAACCCGAACCCGAATCCGAATAAGAGCCAGACACGAACCCGAATCGGACACGAACCCGAGCCCGAACAGGAACTGGACCCCGAACCCGAACCCGAGCCAGAACCGGACCAGAGCAGAACCGGAAACGGAACTGGAATCAGAACCAGAACCGTCCCGTTCCGGTACCGGAACGGGAGCCGGAACCAGAATTGAACGGGGACGGGAACCGGAACCAGATTTGGATCCAGAACTAGAATCGCAACCGGAACAGGACAGAGAACCGGCATCAGAAGTAGGACCGGAACCAAACCAGAACCAGAACCGGAATCCGAACCCGAACCCGTACCCGTACCCGAACGAACCCGAACCCGACACAAATTTGAACCCAAACCAGAACCGCAACGCGACCCCGACCCGGAGCTGGAGCTGGAACAGGAACCGGACCCGGACCCAGACCCGATTCTGGACGCCGATTCGGAACCAGAGCTGGACCCTTGAGAGAAGAGGAAGCGATGGCAGTCGCCAGTTCAATTCTTCGGGTTGCTCCTCCTCGAGCTTCTCCCCGCCCGCCGATCCAGTTTCTGCCTGCTCCTCGACAGGCTCTCAGAATATTCGGTTGCGCTGGACAGTTGCAAGCGCGACGCATGCAATGCATAAGCCAGAGGTGAAGGAGGAGGAGGAGGAGGAGGAGGAGCAGGAGAGGGAGCACTGCAGTGCAGGGTTTTAGTATGTATCGGGTGTTTCGGCCCCAACCCGCGGCACCTACAGGGAGCGCTATGCGGGTCGCAGTCGTCTCTTCAGCTCCACTCCCCTCCCCCTTTGCCGCGGCCCTTCGAGAAACGGTCGGTGCGGAGGGGACTTGATGATGTTTTCACAACCTGGATCCCTGGAGGTTTGGACTCCTGATTGGGGGCGGGGGCCCGTTCAATTGTCGGGGGCACACACCTGCAAAGTGCAGCGCGGGCACAAATCGCAGGTCGGCCGACGGGCCCCGCGGCGCCGCGGCGCGTGCGACGCGCGACGCAAGTAGCCCGACCGCAGGGCGCGCCGCCCGCGCTCGGGGGTTGATGCTTCTGTGTTGTCACGCGCGGGCCTGCCGCGGGCGCTCGCGCAGGCGCGCCGGGGCGGGTCGCGGCGCGCCCTCGCGCCGTCGGCTTCGTTGGTTTCGTATTATTGCTTCGCGCCGCGCTCGCGGGGCGCTCGCCCGCGGCGCGGGCCCGACGGCCGTGCCAGGCAGCTCGCAAAGCTGACCGTGCTCCGGTACGTTGATGACCACTTCTCGCCGGATCGTTTCCGCGCGGTCTAACACGCGAAACTTTGTTTTGCACGCATCATCAGGGCCGCGCTGGGCAGCAGCGCGGTGGCTGACTCGAAGCTGGCGCACGGGGCCCAGCTTGTCGTGCTCGGCGTGTTGTTCTCGTTGAGTGCACGCGGCATCCATTGCGAACCAACGGAGGACGAGCGTCTCAAGTGGTCGGCTGTCATCCAGGGCGCGATCGCGCGCCGCAAGTTGCACCAGGGCGTTGCAAAGAAATTTGCGGGCGCCCTCGCGCGGGCAGAGCAGCGCCTGTTCAATCGTCTTGGCAGAGCGACGTTGCGCCCGCTTGTCGCGCATCAGCACCGCCGCTCCAGCCGGATCGGGCGGCCCCTCGAGCTCGCATTGCACTGGTGGGTCCAAGCGCTCGAGCTCAGGCTGCGCGAAGTCGCGCAGTGGGAACAGGGGGAGACGCCCGCAGCGCACATGTTCTGCGACGCTCGTAGCACGCCCCCTCGCCATGCAGCCGCGCCTTCCATCGACGGCGAAGTCCTGCGCGCGGAGCTCGCACCCGACGCGGAGCTCATGCAATCTTTCAATCGCAGGCGCGGCGGCCAAGTCATTGGCCTCGAAGTGCGCTCGATCGCGCGCGCTGGGTTTGTCGTCGTTTGAAGGGCGGCTGACCAGGCGCGCGCTGGAAGTTTTCTCAGACAGTTCGGGCGCCGAGAGGTCGGTGGCGCGCGCGAGCGCCAAGGACTGGGATCAGGCAGCCCTGGCCTGCGGGATGCGGCCTCTCGCGGCGCGCAATTCTCTGCCCTTCTGGGTGCGCAGAGCCCCGCCCACGAGCAACGTGTCACACGGGCCGTCACGCGATGTGCACAAACTCCTGCAGTTTATCGGGGCGCGCCAGGTGCCGGCGGCGCTGAGCGCGCGCTTCCGCGCGCCGGAGGCATGCGATATCGCCGCGCCTGCGCAGCGCGCGACGAAGGCGGCGGCGTCGCACGCCGGGGCGCCAAGCGCGGCATCCTTTACGAGCAAGGCATTCCGCCGCGGACATGCAGAGACGAAGGCAGGTGCAACGGCTGCCTTTGTCAAATTCTCTGCGGGGCCGATTGCTCCCGCGCTTTTAAAGATATGCACCAGCACGAGGGCGACGCGGCCGCCGCAGCGGCGGCCACCGCTTTATGCCCTGCCAGCGCAGGGCGCAGACCAGGTTCTGCAACGGCGCCTGCGGGGCAAGTCGAACAGGCGCACGCTCGGCGCGCAATCCGATCTGCACCCGCGGTTCCATTGGATCGCGGCGGGCCTGGCGCGCCCCGACCACGGTGGGCCTGGGCGCCGGCAGCGTTGGGTTCAGCGCCCTGGCTGGCCTGGTCGGGGACAGCGCGCGTCACCGCCTGCGCCCCCCACGCGGGGCGCTAGCGGGGCGGCGGCCCTGGCTCGGTCACCGCGCCCATCGCTGGGGCGGCGCGCCCGAGGTCGGGCACGCGAGGTTGGTCCGCCGAGATTTGCGGGGGGCGCACGCCCGCAGGGTGCTGCGCGGGCACAAGTCGCAGGTCGGCCGACGGGCCCCGCGGCGCGTGCGACGCGCGACGCACGTAGCCCGACCGCAGGGCGCGCCGCTCGCGCTCGGGGGGGGGCGCCCCCGCGTTGTCACGCGCGGGCCTGCCGCGGGCGCTCGCGCACGCGTGCCGCGGGGGTCGGGCCGGGGCGGGTCGCGGCGCGCCCTGGCGCCGTCCGTCTGCTTCGCAGGTTTCGCATTATTGCTTCGCGCCGCGCTCGCGGGGCGCTCTCCCGCGGCGCGGGCCCGACGGCCGCTCTGCCCCGCCCGCGCGCTCCCGGGCGCGGGGTCGGCGGCGGACCGTTCCCGCCTCGCCCGCCCGCCCATGGGGCTCAACGCCCGGGCTGGCCTGGTCGGGGACAGCGCGCGTCACCGCCTGCGCCCCCCACGCGGGGCGCTAGCGGGGCGGCGGCCCTGGCTCGGTCGCCGCGCCCATCGCCGGGGCGTGGCGCCCGAGGTCGGGCGCGCGAGGATGGCCCGCCGAGATTCGCCCGGTTGACCCCAAAGGGGGTCCAGCGAAAAGAGGGTGGCTGGTCTATTAGATTTGCAATAGATTTGTGGGCTTGCTGTAGATCTGGGGCGCGCAACACATTCGGGTGTGCAGATGCATTGCTGGGCGTACGCGCCCAATGCATCTCGTCGCAATGCCATGCAAAACAACTCTTTGGCGCAACACATGCGCAACAGAATTGCCCCAAACCTAGTGCGCCACCCCCCTTTAGCTGGACTTCTTTTTGGTCATCCAGAAATAGGCCATTTGGACTGGGCGCCCATGCAAAGCGGCGTCGACACGCGGGCGCTGGGCTCAAACGGGTTTCGCCCGTTCCAGCAACCACGCGCACGGGGCGCCCACGCAAATGTTCTTTGGCCCGATCTATATATATAGAGAGAGAGAGAGAGAGAGAAAGAAAGAAAGAAATAAAGAAAGACAAAGAGAGAGCGAGAGAGAGAGAGAGAGGGAAAAAGAGAGAGAGAGAGAGAGAAAACAAAAAGAGAGAGAGAGAGAGAGAGAGAGAGAGAGAGAGAACCAGGTTCAAAGTTTGCGCCCCCTAAGGGGGGAGATGAAGGCAAGGGAGGGGGCCCATCTCACGCGCCGATCCCAAAGGTTTCTGGCGGATTTGCGATTTCTACCTGATGCCTTTTTGGACGCTGCAATGGGTCGCGACCACGCCCCCCGGACCCTGGGGAGGGGGCGGGAGGCAGGGGGAGGGGTCAAGCTACCCCAAGCCGCGAACCGCGTCGCTCACGATCACCAGCCCCCCCAACACATAGTTGGCAGCATCCGAGCCTGGGCCCCCGAACCCACTGAGTTCATGGATCCCGTCGGAACCACAGAGCAGATAGTTTAGGGCACCCCCCACCGCCACTGTCAAAAGCCATGCGAAGCCAGTCAAGAACCAATGCGAAGTTGTCGCGGGGCGCCCGCGCATGATCCAGATTTTGTCGCAACGTGCACGTTGTGTGGCGTTGGCAAGGGATCGTGAGCCTGCGCGCAGAAAAGTCAATGCGATGGCCCCCCCCGACTGCCCCCCCTGTCAAACAAACAAAAAAAACAATACAAAACGATCGCGGGGAGTTGTACCAGATTTTGCCATGCAGTGTGTATGCGTGTGCGTGTGTGCATGTGTGTCCGTGTGCGTGTGCGTGTGCGTGTGCATGTGCGCGTGCGCGTGCGTGTGCGTGTGCGTGTGCGTGTGCGTGTGCGCGTGCGCGTGCGTGTGCGTGTGTGTGTGTGTGCGTGTGCGCATGCGTATGCGCGTGCGTGTGCGTGTGCGTGTGCGTGCGCGTGCGCGTGTGCGTGTGCGCGTGCGTGTGCGTGTGCGTGTGCGCGTGCGTGTGCGTGTGCGTGAACGTTCGCGCGTGCGTGTGCGTGTGCGTGTGCGCGCGCGCGTGCGTGTGCGCGTGCGTGTGCGTGTGCGCGTGCGCGTGCGCGCGCGTGCGCGTGTGCGTGTGTGTTACATTGTTTGTTGCACTGTGTTTTGACAGGGGCGGCGGGCCTGTGCCGGGCGGACATTTTGAGGGCACCGCTGCAGTCCCTTTTCAGAAGACATGCAAAGTGCTCATAAGGCGCCCGCGCGCAGTCCAGATTTTGCCGCAAAGGGCACTTTGCATTGTGTTTTGGCAGGGCTGGTAGGCTTGCACAGAGCGGACAATATGAGGGTACCTCCGCCGTCCCTGTCAAAGTCGAATGCAAAGTGATCGTGGGGCGCCCGCGCGCGATCCCGATTTTGCCGCAAAGTGTACTTTGCATTGTGGTTTGGACCAGACGACGGGGAGGAAGCGTATTGTTTTGGGTTTGTCGCCGGTCGGATGGGGGAGGGGGCGTATATCATTTCAGGAACATTGGTAACCCTATCCCCGACGGGGAAAACGCGGGATCGGGAGACCAATTTCGCCGAAGCACTCACACCCAGAAGGCTGGTGGGATTTGGTAGCCCCCTGCCTCGTTGAGGCCGTTATTTTGCAAGCTGGCGCAGGAAGTTCGCGGGATATGTCTTGCCCGCTGGCGCCGAGCGTTTTCTGGCGGAGCCGCCCAACATAAAATGGCCCGAGCTGTTCAACCTTGCGGTCGTCCTTTCTAGGTCGGCGTCGAGGACGTGAGATAAGCGAGCTTCGCGTTCCTCTCCTCTATCCTTGCTCTCTCCTCCGCAACCTCGAGGGTGCGAATGCGTTGGCGCATTGTGGATGTCGTAGCACCAGTCGCGAACTTGTATTAGCTATTTGTCCATGTTTGTCCGAGCTCGCCTGCATCCAAAGGTCTGGTCATCGCGAACATATCCAGAGCCTA